ACAGTCGAAGATGTTGCTAATCAACTTATGAGTGTCCGCATTTGTTTATTCATCTTAAAAATTATAGTTTACAATAACATTTGACAAGTTTCTGATGAGCAATTATTAACAATGAAAGTGTTCTTGTGATTATTTAAAATTATGTTAGACAAACGTGTTAAATATATCTTACAGTGTAAATCACAAATGGCTATTCCAGAGTACAACTGAGCTACCAATATATTTGTCAGTAATAAAAAGTGAATAAAAGAAATATGTTTGAGTAGGTAAAAGAAAAAATCAACTCAATCCATTTTGTAGAGATTTAAATTATGTCAGGTACGAGTAAGATTTTGATCACATACTTCTCATATTTTGTTAGTGAATATAGTCAAGAAGAGAAATAGTAAGGGGACATGGTTACTCAATTTGGTTAAGAAATGACTCGAAATTTATAGAGACGAAAGATACACGTATAGCTATCTTGCACAAATGCTTATGGTCACATATATAAATGGGATGATAATAGCTGAAAACATCGGAATAAACTAATCATCTAATGATGGTGATAAATCGCGCAAGTATATAGTGAGATACAGACTAATAAACTGTAATCTTACCCGATACTGCTTGGGCTAATTAACTATTGACTAGTCCTCAAAAGTCTTCCACTCATGAATCCCAAGTACTACATTACAATCTTCACTTTGAAAAATAGATTATTTGTTAAATTATATGGTTGTTTACAGAACTATATTTCACCATGATGTTGTAGAAGTATTGGAAAAACATGTTAGGATTGGTAACGAATCTACGAATAGTTCAATCAAGATGAAGAAAGATATGATCAATGACTATCTATATTTCTTTGGAATTTTGTAGAGATAATCGATTATTCAACTGATTTATATCATCTTATTGGTTATTAGAAGCTATACAGAGAAACTGTCGATGTCTCCTTACAGAATGCATCGTCAGAAATAGCATAAAAATGTCATAGTCAGATGAATTTCTTATTCATATCCATTTGTTCATATCAGTGACATAGTAAGTTATTCAAAGTCACAACAGTCATCGCTGTCTTTATCAAGTCAGTTATGCCTTTTTATACCATTTGATTTACGTGATATTTCAGGTTCGAGGTTAGAAAATTGCTCTGACGAATACAAACTACTTTGATACTTGTTAGTAACACAATGTAATGTAAAAACCTTTGTGATTTTGGGAATCGTATAAACTGGATTGTTCTACTCAAGACAGCGGATTATAGATTGTTAGTTGATTTGAAAACAGCCTAATCTGAATCGACATGGCGATCATGAATCACAGACTACTCCAAAGATTTTCACTGTCACTGAACGCAATTTGTTTATTGTCAGTCGCTGTTCCACAATAAAATTAATAAGGAAAAGTGTAGCGTTATATAAATCATCAAAATCGAAATCTCTGTAAGTCTTCGACATTTTATGCTGACCACATTATTTTTATTGGACTCACCTACAACCGCTAGCCAGCTTAGATTACTTACTTATCGGTCTATCGAGGTTCTATCAGATATATCTTCGAACCTCTTCACTTCTGACTTCTGATTTGACTGGCTTGGTATAATCCGATTATAAAAGGTGATGCTGGTTAAAGCATTGCCAAACTCTGATTACTTGTGATATCTTTAGTGGTGAGCCTGACGTGATCTGGTACACCAATTCGTGAACTGTGGGTCTTTCCTTGGTGAGACTATGTATATCATTTTTAAAAAATCTAATTTTTACATATTGTAATATTTTTCTGGTATTTTCGAATACCTTTTCATCGTTCATTACTATACTTTATACTCATTATGACAGAACGGATTCCTAAATTATTTAAGATCAAAACTATTTTGCCACCTTCATTTCAGCTGATACGAGTTTTGCGTGACAACATCGGAGCGGGTCCTGCTCTGCGGAAAATGAATTCCATGGATACGGCGTGACAGACCAACGTGTTCAGTTCTTCGTGGTGGCGAAGGAACTACTGCGCGAATTCGACTGGTACGTCACACCTAATATGTTTACTAGTGACGTTTCAGAACCTTGTGAAACTCAAACGGCTATCCTCGAACATGAACGTATGACCGACCGACAGAGGTTAGACCAACTTTTCAACAACATTGATCTACAACATGGCTCAGCAGCAGACATGTTACCACGGATGTGAGGGGTTATTGGTCATTGGGTTTTTGACGAAGGCCTCTTTAGACAACTGTTCTTGTTTTAGCTTCCCCAAAAGGTGCAGGCAGTGCTTATTTCATTTCGGAATAACGCTGTAGATGAGCTGGCTGCATCTGTATATCGGATTCTGGAGATCACCAGACTCTGGCAGAGAGTGCATCAACTTCCTCATATGAAACTAATCGGTTCACTTATTAAAACGATTGTGCATTGTTGGTACAAGTGTAGTTGACTATCCGATCACTAGTGTTTACCAATGCGAAGGACAGGATATGTCATTTGACCAGTTCAGCATAAATGTGTAGTGACTCACATTTATCACGAGAACACGACTGGTTTAATAAAAACAATTATTATTATAACCACGTTCCGGTCGCCGAGTACGGTTGCCCGTACGCTTCCGCGAATAGTCGCACAGTCAACAACCGATGCGGTGTAGGATTATTCCTATACCACACACATGCTACACTCTTCTCTTTTTTGATTTTCTTTTTGTTTCCTGAGTCCACGCCCTCAACCATCTCCGTTTGGTTCCGTCGACTTCAGTCAACTTTGGCGAAAGCTAAACTGGCCACCCATGCTCTTGTCAGCGCACTCAGTCGATATTTTGGTTTCGAATGCTTGGCATACGCTTGGTCTCGAACTTCGTCGTTATGGTCGCTTCTGGTCTTTTGGCTCAGGGTGGTTTCGTCCTACGTCTACAGCGTTTCTGGTCCGCACTCCATACGAACGCAATCTTCAGATTCTGGATACAAACCACTCTGGTGTAGCATGCCAACTCAAGCAACAAATACAGCACATCGCTCCTGGTACCGTTCTCCGAAAACGACCTTCGTTGGCAACTCGACGATCAACGATCGCTTTCCTGTTCGCCAATCTTTCCGTCCTACAACTGCTCGTCAGCTGATCAGTCTCACGATTGAAACCGCTATTTATCGAAAGTGTACACCCTTTCTAGCGGGGGGCTCCTGTAGTGACTCACATTTATCACAAGAACACGACTGGTTTATTAAAAACAATCATTATTATAATCAACTGTACCAGTGTTTGTTTTAATGTGCTTTTGTTTGACTGTGCTAATGACAGCTATTTTGTGCTTCCATTCTTATACTTACACTTTGATTGTAACTTCGCACGAATTCGGTTACGTTCTGTAACCAAGCTTCTATCCTGGCACGATCTCGGTATCCTTTCGATGCCAAGAGATCTCCAGCGAATACATCTCGATTTGATCCATTAATTGCCTTCTGGTATTTGGCTTCTCGGAGATTCTATGGGTTTCTTTGGTTACGTTCAACTTACGCCTTCTGATTTATTTGGCACGTGTTTCTTGGTAGCGGTGTTCATAGTTAATCTCAACTAGACGACACGCTACAAATGTATGAGTTTACCTGCACCTATGCAGCTAGATAATACATGGGCTTTTTCTTGAGAAGTGTAGTGGCACTGAGCTCTATCCACACAATCCTCAAAGCTGAACACAAGATAAATGGGAAAATAGACATTCAACATTTACCGCAGAGAAAAACCGAACGACGGATAAAGCGAGAAGAACGAATTGAATGATTTCAAATTGATCAAATGGCATTGCTCGGCCTCGCAGACGTGGTAGCTCAGTACAACTTGCTTTTACTCATATTGAATATATTGTTCTGTAGTGACCTACTTTTATCAAGAGAATGCGACTGGTTTAATGGAAACAATTATTATTATAACTAATTGCACCAATGATTGTCTTACATGTTTATTTGACTGTGCTGTACTGTATACTACGTTCATAAATGTGTTTACAGGTTATTACTCCCCACATATATTTGGATAACATGTCGTCTTTTCCATATTATGAACACACGAATATATTCCAATAACATCCTGTCGCTTGATCTCATCGGCAATGATCAATTCTAATTTTTGGTTAACAGTGATCAGTATTTATCGGTTGGCATTAATTGCACAGCCATTGTAAAATCATATCAAAATTTCCCCTATGTCCTACAATTTCTAGTCGATCTGGTAATTTAATTCTTTACGCATTAACACGAACTACACACCATGGTAACCAAACATGCAGTTAACGTAGAATAAGTGTGGTTAAGAAATTCATTATTCAGTTCAAACTTCCCGAGTGTCTTTGTAAATTCTAGGCAACACACTCTAAATATTTCATTTGTGTGTCATCCATCAGTTGTCATTTACATTCTTCATGATTCTCACAATTATGTTTGTATTCCAATTCCAAATCAGAATTATCACACATATTCAGTAAGTTACAGCTGCATTGATTCGTTTCATCAGCACATCCAATCCCAATCAAGATTGACAAGATCATTCACGGATTATCACAGAGTTCGGACTCAACAATTTGTAATAAACAAGGATTAAGCCTAACCATGTAAAGAAAATTATAGGAAGTAGACACTTTTGATGTATGTGACGTCCGAAATTAAAAGCATTTATTTTGTCTTGATAAGAATGTGTTTGGGTTATCCGATTGCAGAATTCCGGGAGAGAATTTTGATCGGTCTCATTTAGAATACGTGCAAATCGTGTGATTTACATTGATCTAATCATTGTGTCACCAGTTATTAATATTTGATGGATTGACGCCTTAGTGGAATCCAGGATCCGTGTCCCATTCTATTCTGGATTCACCAACTGGAGAAATTTACGTTAGTATTGATTTATTCACTGAGACCAGAACCTAGTATCATTCACTACGAGTCTACAACACGTTAATTGTTGAAGCATTGAGTTCAGTTAGTCAGTAACTTGTTTGTTGGGTATAACGAATCCATTAATTCTTGATAATCCATGATACAACGATTATATGGAGGCAGTGCTCACAGAATGCCAATTCGGTAACTAACTAATGTGAACAGAGAAACTAGAAGCCTTGACAAACTACGGAAGCTATTTTCAGGGCGGCATTACATCTAATTCAGAGCTTGTAAAACATTAACATTTGGTTTTATCCCTAGTCTTTTCTGCGAACCATACGCTTTTATTTGATGTATGATTCACTGCCATAACACGTATTGTTCGAAAACTATTGTAATTTAGACGTATTATCTTGTAATCTATTTTCTACGCTAATCCCTAGTTTGGACATAATTGTATTTTTCTAATTATTGTACGTTGTGGTCGGGTAATTCATGTTATTCATGTATCTTTTTACACTGATCTGAAATCAGGAACTCGGGGACCAGATTGGAATTGAGAATAAATCGAGTAGTGTCTTCTCTCACTCGCGTGCTTGTCAGCCAATCAGGTGATAGAAGAGTTTTCGTCTCTCTACCCCACTCCGAACTCACGCGTATTAGCCCCAAGCTTAAGCCAGTCAGCCTATTGCGTCAAGGTCTTAATCTACATTAGCCGAGTTATCATCAGCACCAAAAGTGGGTAGACAAGTCAAGGACGTAATATTAACACTGATAAACATTCAGTCTCTAGTATCAACAATGGGTTAACTAGAACCATAAGTGTCAGTGATATAAACACTTGACTGGTGGAGCAAAATGGTGGCTTACTGAACCTAGTTGCTCGGTGGATGCTGAGGATGCTAGATGTCCGGAAATTAATTGGAGGAATTCTGATTATTGCAATTTAGTTGCGCTAATTCTCATTTTCTATTTTCATTCCTGAAAACACTCAGTTTTGCATTAAGTTTGTGTTATACCAACTATTCTACAACCAATTTTGGCTATGGATAATTTTCATTTATTAATTTACTTAATAGACTATTGGTATATTTCTATGACTATAAATTTACCTATGTAATTGCATGTATATACTTACTCGCCTCTCCACTTCGAATTCGCTTGGTGAAGTTAAAGCTCTGTGATCAATGCTATCCACTAATGAACTGAAGCTACAGCTTCTCCTTGCCTTCTGGTTTCAAACAACATGGGGATTTATATAATAACGGTTGTCAAGGTGATTGATTGAAGAAGCTATGATACCAAATACCAATGAACACCCTACGGCGGAAGACGAAGTGGCCATCTGCACTCTTTTAACAGAAGACCACGAAGAGTGTTTCCCGATGACTACCACTCGTGATTTGTCAGTATCAGCATCAGGGATACGAGCCGCTTCCAGGAACGACCTCATCATTAATGGTTGGCCGTCTACCGTTTTCGACAGTGAAATGAAGGAACTTTGTCATCGTCGGGGTTCGTTGTACGCCGTAGACGAACGTTGAATGTTTGAATTTAGAATGGTTATGATGGATTTTTTTGTCTGAGTTAGATGGTTTGGCCGTGGAGCTGTCATTGTAATTCTTAACGACATTATCAGCACAAACTTCTCCACCGTCTAATCGGTGCGCGCTAATTTAAAAAAAGCAGTGAATTTTGTACTTGTGGTGATTATACTTGCTTTTGGTACTTATTGCACTAAAAAGCATTCTTGGTCGACTTGTACCAAGAGTTCTTTGGTTAAAGTACCACCTGCTACTGACATTGTTAATAATGAATCTTTAATGGGAACCGAAGATCTGGATAAAACAGTCACCGTTCCAAATAGTCCAAGTGTTATGAGGGATGAAAAATGGACTACGGTACGTAGGAAACGAAACGAAAAGAAAATAGCTGTAAACAGTACACAGGTAGTTAGTAACTCACTGGTGGACCCAAATTGTGAGCCACAAATTGCACTACCAAAATCTGAAGGTAAGAGTGAAACCCATCCTGGCGTGACTGAGAAGAAAAATCTAATAACATCGAATATTTTTGTGAGCAAATTGCGGGAGTCAAACGACCCTGATTCGAAAATTAGACACTCGCGTGACTTAGAAAAGCTAGGAGAATACACTCGTAGTATTTTACCAGATAACTCTGGAGGAGTTCGGGTCAAAAAATTGGTAAGAATAGGCGAGAGGACCGTGGAGAATGTTGAACCCCGTTCATGCAGACTCCTTAAGGTAATCCTAGGATCGGAGAAGCAACGGGATCTCTTGTTAAGTAGCGCTCGTTGTCACGACAATTCTGACATCCGAGTTAGACCTGACATGTCTCACGAAGATAGAATAAAAAGGAAGAAAGCACTAGCTAAACTTGAAACCCGTCGGCAAAACGGCGAGGAAAATCTTCGACTAGTGGGTTTTCGGATACTCAGGTCTTGGAAGCGAATGCTACCAAGGCCTGTGTGGATAGGCTGTTCTACTTAGGAGTTTTATATGCCAACGCTCGCAGTTTACGAAATAAGTTCTATGAACTAGAAGCACTAGTAGACAGGTTAAAGCCACTTATAGTAGCAGTGACAGAAACTTGGTCAGTCCATGACTTAGACGTTACTCCAGAATTATCCGGACACTATTACATCAGGAGTGATAGACATAGATGTAGAAAAGGAGGTGGCGTCCTGTTATATATAGCCAATGGCATAAATATCCGCTCCTCTACTAGCGAATCCCATGATAGCGGCACTTGTGAAGTCATTAGCTGTAAGTTGGCAATAGGATGTAGTACATTTATGCTAGGTGTGATCTATCGGAGCCCGATCTGCTTAGCTGATGACTTTGTTTTAGAGCACATTCATCTTTGGAGTGAAAATACCAGATGCTTGATAATAGGAGACTTAAACGCACCTGATATTAGTTGGACTGAGATGACCACAGAAGGATCCATAAACTCCTTTGGTAGTAGGTTCCTGATAACAATAATGGAGCATGCACTAGTGCAGCATGTATCCAAACCCACACGTTTTGGTGTTAACCAGGGTTCTTCTCTGTTGGACTTGGTAATCACTCATGAGACTGAGGATATTGTCGACTTAAATATTCTTCCACCGTTAGTGAACAGCGATCACGCTGTTTTGTCATTCACGTTTAGAACTAAGGACATGTTATACGAGCAGGTTACACCCCGCCCAAATGTATGGAAAGCTAACATATCAGCCATTCAGGAATGCGCTGCTAAGACAGATTGGTTTGTAGATACTAGCTTATCAGTTGAAGAAGCATGGTCTGTATTTAAAGGTAGTTGGTCGCGCAATTTCATGGATTGGTTGATGTTAGACACTAACACCATTGGATGCCGGCCAGCTCAGTGGTCCAGTAGGTTAAGCGTTCGCGCGCGAGGCCGAAGACCCTGGGTTCGAATCTCGCGAGCAGGATCTTGGATGCGCACTGCTGCCAAGGAGTCCCACGATAGGACAAAACGGCCGTCCAGTGATTTCAGGTTTTCAATAGTGGTCTAACATTAATCGGTTCATGTTCTCAATCAAAAACTTAATAATCTTCACAATCCTATGCTAATAAATTTAGACTAGTTACGTTCCCGTTCATACCATACCTGGTACCGCGAAGACCGAATAACAGTCTACCATGGATGACTAAAACAGTCAGGAAACTTCTTAGAAGAAGGGAAAAGCACTGGAATATGTTCATCTCTACTGGCTTAGAACAATACAGATCCAGTTATTGTAAGATTAGGAATGCCTGTAAAGCGTTAATAAGCAAGACTAGACTATCATACGAAAAACAATTGGTTAGGGATTCTAGATATAGTCCGAAACGGTTATTCTCGTATATAAAAAGGCGAACTAAGAGAAGCGAAGGAATTCCATCACTTTTGATATGAGAAAATCCGTTAATCTTAGCAGAGAATGATGCCGTAAAAGCTGAAGCTTTATCGGAATATTTTAGTAACGTGTTTTCTATCGGTAATGGGGAACGACCAACGATTCATCGCGACCGTGACGGCTCGCTGATGGATCCTGTAGTCATTGAGAAAGGTACTGTTTTAAGGCTACTTCAGCATCTCAAACCTGATAAGTCTAGTGGTCCTGATTATATTCATCCTAGGATTATGAAAGCCATATCAGGTGAAATCGCTGAACCATTAGCGATACTATTCGACATGTCTCTGAGACAGTCCAGACTTCCTAGAGACTGGAAAGACGCCATAATAAGTCCGGTGTATAAGGCTGGGAGTAGGGATTTAGTTAGTAACTATAGACCTGTTAGCCTAACTAGTGCAGTTGTGAAACTGATGGAGAAATCATCCGGATGGCTGTTATAAACTATGTTGAAGGGCAAAATATTTTCTCCAGGGCACAACATGGTTTTCGGAAAGGCCTATCTTGCTTAACAAATCTTCTCATTGCACGAGAAGAGTGGGCTGCCGCAAAGGATCGGAATATTCCTGTGGATGTGGTTTTTATAGATCTAAGTAAAGTCTTTGATAAGGTTTCCCACTCTGGTCTTAAATTCAAACTGGAACGTTTTGAAATCCATTATCCAGTCGTAGATTGGATAAGTAACTTTCTCCATGACAGGAGACGAAGGGTAAGGGTTAATGAGGCTCTCTCCTCGTAGGTACCTGTAAAACGTGGGGTTTCTCAAGGTACAATCCTGGGTCCTCTTCTCCTTTTACTTTATGTAAATGATGATGACATAAAGATTTGGAGACCCATACATAGTATGTCGGATAGAATAGTATTACAGGACGATCGTTGCTCATTGGTGGCATGGTTAGACAGGTGATCACTAGAAGTAAATCCTAATAATAGTGTAGTGATGCAGTTAAATAACTCTGATGATTCGTATGACTATACACTACGTGGATTCGGGCTACCCAAAGCAAGAAACTATAAAGATTTAGGAGTCATATTAAGCAATGATCTCAAAACGAATAGTCACTGTAAGGCTGCTGCTGAGAAAGGCTATAGGGCATTATGGTCAATTCGTAGGTCTTTCCAGTATTTAGATGATGAAATGTTTAGATTACTATACCCGATTTATGTGCGACCACATTTAGAATACGGGATTCAAGCAGTGTGTCCTTGTTTCCAGTATGAAGCAGATATGCTAGAAAGAGTCCAACAACGAGGTACTAAAATGGTACAAGGTCTGTCTGGCCTATCTTATGAAGAGGGCTGAGACACCTTAACTTATTTCCGTTATCTTGTAGTGGCATTGAACAATAACCGCACAATCCACAAAGCTGAACACGAGACTACTCAGAAAATAGATATTCAATGTTTAACGCGGAGGAATACCTAACAAGGGAGAAGGCGCGAACAAGGAATTGAATGGACTGGGTTTGATCTGATGGCATGGCTCGTCCATGCAGGCGTGGTCCATCTCAATGTTACTTTATATCTTCTATTCATATTAAATATATTGTTCTTTCTCTAGATTAACCTTGTTCTACATCACGTATTGGTAATTGATACGATACAGTGAGTTGGTGTAGTCGATGGTGTGACTTCCACGTAAGATCTTATAGATTAGGCAGTTATATCATGACAAATCTACATATTTAGGATTAGGTCTATTATTAGAGCAGTACTAATATCATAGTAGACCATAATTCTACAATCTTACCGTAGAATATGGGGTGATCTAATATAGGCTTATCGTATACTGAACATTGACCTTGGTGTTAACGTGTCTTATCTTTTGTTTCCGTCTAGAACCTATCATTTGAGAGGACATTCGAAGAAAGTTCAAAAACCGAGATCAAGCCATTTGCGTCTGGAGTTCCGTTTCTCCAACCGAGTAGCGAATTAATGGAATTCTCTACCGGAACACGTAATATCAGCATCGTCCGTTAAAATATTCAAAACGAGGGTGGACCTCCACAGTATTACAAACTTCAAGGATTAATATAGGTCGACAGACCTCCTATCCTTATTACTGAAGACTGAAGTCTGAAGACTAGAGAATGGCTGTGCAGGAAATCTCAATGTTCAAAGTACTGAAGCAGTTTCATACCAGATATCCTGGAGTAAAACAAACGAAGTACACAGCACGAGGCTTCTTACAGTAACCACCCATGCATTAGCACGTTGAGGATTTGGTAGACAGATGCACGCATCGACAACAGGCGGCAGAATTTAACGCCAGATTACTGCCGATTGTGTGACACCAGCCTGAGGAACCCTGGTCTAGGATACATATCGACTTTTAGTGGCCCGGGATATGACTCCAGGTAAAGCGTCTGCTGCTTGTTATCGAAATATTCAAGTTGCCAACCATCGTGTGTAATCAATGACTTAAATCGCGTTGGTGAATAACAGAATTAAACAAGTCAAGTACGAGAATGGAATTGTAGTGCACGTGGTTTCGTGAAAGGTTCACCATGATGACCATTACTATAGGAGTCACGACATCGAATTCAGAAGGCGATAAGAAGTCGGTGTTGTCTCGGGTTGATTGGCAGATTGAAACCCTTTAGAGAATCAACGTCTATAATAGACACAGGTAAGTAGTGGCATTGGACAATAGCCACACAATCCACAAAGCTGTGAACACGAGACTACACAGAAACGAGATATTCAATATTTAACGCGGAGAAATGCCCAACGATGGAGAAGGCGCGAACAATGAATTGAATGGACTGGAGTTGATCGAGTGGCATGGCTCGGCCATGCAGGCGTGGTCTCTGCTGAATGTTACCTTATATCTTCTATTCGTATTAAACATATTGTTCTTTCTCCAGCCTAACCTTGTTCTACATCATGTATTGGTAATTGATACGATACAGTGAGTTGGTGTAGTCGATGGTGTGACTTCCACGTAAGATCTTATAGATTAGGCAGTTATATCATGACAAATCTACAAATTTAGGATTAGGTCTATTATTAGAGCACTACTAATATCATAGTAGACCATAATTCTACATTGGTGAGCCCAACTAAAGGAACGTAACCTATTATTGTTAATCCTTATTTCCACCTTAACCTTCTCAATCGGATTTCATTTTTGTAAACCCACTATTCTAATAGTCCTTTGATTAATGGTCACATATATTATCGTAATGTTATATCTATTAGTTCACATAACTTACTAGCTCAATCGATAATAAAAGTTGATCATCTATATCAACTAATTAGCTTTGATGGTTCGTTAACAAGCTTTAATAGCATTTACATGCTTCAGCAACATAGACTTGTTTAAACATCAAGCTCTAGCAAATATGACCTGCAAATAGCGTAAATATACATTGACTAGCAATGCAATCAAGGACTAAATAGTTATCGGGATCTAATTATCAGTGTTCCTTCACTTAACACCTCATCCTGTTTTAAACTATGCACTATCCTGTAATATCTTTTCTTCTGACCACTGCCTGCAAGGATGACATTTCTCCAAAAACATACGGTGAGTTTCATCTATAGGTTTTCTGCAATCATAAGCTCATTTTAGATGGCTCGTTCAATAACAACCACACAATTAACTGAATTCATTCGATTGTTCTAATCCGAGCGAGTGGCAGAAACGTCAACAGCATCAAGCACCCTAAAATTAATTGCCATACTGCATGTTTTATTCTGGATACTTTTGGATCATTACTACTTACGAATGGCGTTATATATGTCGTCCACTGAATAATCTAATTTTTAGAAATAACCCAGGCGAGTTCAACTATTTTACTTAATGATTTTTTGTACTGAACATATATATGTTTTCCAGTTGCTTTTGGCATATATTTGTAAGTGTCCCTATGCTGAGTGCAGTAACTTCTTATGGAATGTTTATAATGCGTCATATTCCTGCCTGAAGTTTCATAAGCAGCCTGGTCGTGTTCATTATTTTTTAATTGTCATATACGTCAACAACCTGCTTGTTAACCTGGCCCGTACATACGTTACAGTAAATCTTCATGTCTTCTAAATTTAGAAATCATCTGAATCGCCTTTAACGTGTATAAATAAACCCATCATAGTCGTTGTTGCTAATCGTATTTGGATTTATGGATTGGTTTATCATAGTAGCAGCCTAAAATGCAGACATAGTTTAGATAACTAGATTACAAATTTAGGTACTATCAACGGCACTAGTCAAATAACTAAATCCCCAGATAGCTGTTGACTAAACAAACGTTTAAAGTCAAAACTCCGTAGCCTACTAAAATTACCACTAAATGAATATTTCTGAATTGAAAATTATAGGATAATTAGGCGTCTCGGATTCTGTAACACTACAAATTTCTGATAATTTTGAATCACGTAAAGCAAAAATACCTATTTTTCCACTGGCTAATCCTCAATCAACACTATAACTAGTTAAATTAAATAGTTTCATTCAATTCTTTATTCATTCATTCCAAATTAGGTCGACCAGAAACAAGATCATGTGGTAAAAAAAATCTATGCAAAAATGTGCTACATGTGTTGATTTAGGCAACAGTTTCAATTGTATCTGTCGTCCTGGTTTCGATGGGTCAATATTGTGGAAAATGAAATTAATGAATGTAATTCAAGCCATGGTGGGTTCACTAATATACGCAACTTTGTTCAATTTAGGTCGAATAAAAAATATTATTGCTGTACATACTTACGCCTGTTATCTCCCGTGGAGGAGCATAGGTCATCCACCAGGATTTTTCATGCCAACTCTAACCTGAACAATCCTTTCCAGTTGTTGAACTAGCCGGAATTCGAAAATGAAAACTTAGATTTCAACCCAATAGTATAAATGACACCATTCAGTTATACGTTAAAAGTTCTAAATTGAATCCCTGACGGAAGTCGTGAACAACTGAGACAAAACACTTGCCACTATTTACTATCTTCAATGATTCTCTAACGGTGGACAGGTCGTGATGAAAAGTATCTTTAGAAATAATTCCGTAATTAATATAGAAGGGGTTTTTTGGATATTATAGTAATTAATTGTTGAGATCATGAGTCCATTGAAGCTAGACCATCATGGAAAACCTGAAGCACTGAAGAGCCGTTTGACTATTCTGGGACTCATCGCAGTGCGCAACCATGATCTCGCCTCACGAGATTCGAACCAAGAACTTATCAGTCTCGCGCGCGAGCACTTAACTTGTAGAACACTGAGGCGGCATCTAACAGTCTCTTGTGAGATAGTAATTCACTAAAGACAATGGTGCACGGTGGCACAACTTCGTGGATTGGTTGAAGTAAGACACTAACACCGTCGGATGCCGGCCGGCTCAGTGGTCTAGAGGTTAGGTGTTCGCGTGTGAGACCTGTAGGTCCTCTGCTTGAATTTCGCGAGGCGGGGTCGTAGGTTCATACTGCCGAGGATTCCCACAATAGGATGAAACGATCAACCAGCTCTCTCAGTTTTTTTTATGGTGGCTTAGCTTTAATTGATTCGTGATGTCAACTATTAAGTTTCGTAATTATTATTAATTTTCTGTCTATTTACTCACCTATTTTTATCTTTTAGTTATAATAATGGAACATGTAAAGATCTTATTAATTCTTTCGAATGTGATTGCCCTAAAGGTTTCATTGGAACAGACTGTAGAATAAGTAGGTTTGACATATTGAGGATATTAATGATTACAATACGATTTTCCAGTGAAATAACTATCTCTATTCATGTGATAATCGTTTCGAATTTTTCATGCTCTTCTCTACTTATTATTCAATGAATAAGATCTATTTCTATGTTTATTGATTTTTTCCTAATCCTGAATGTTCTAATTGATGTCTTTTTAACAATGTCCCTTTATTTCTTTTAACCGGGTAAGGTTGTCAACTACATGTCCAACACTCCTACTTTATCAGTATAGGGGTTGTGGAGATTATTAAGTTTTTGATTGAGATCATAAACCGATCGATGTTAGACCACCGTTGAGAACCTGGAAGCACTGGACGGTCTTCTCGTCCTATTGTGGGACCCAGCGGTGTGCGTCCACGATCCCGCTCGCAGGATTCGAAACCTGAACGTTTAGTCCCGCGCTCGAACGCCTAACCTACAGAATAACTGAGACGGTATCCAACTCCTACTTTATCCAAAATTGTAATTAGTAGTAACCTTAGAAAGGCTTAAAGTAGATACTATTATCTTTGACTGTGATATTTATTATGTTAATTTCATTTCTATATATGAATGTGGGACGAAGTAAAAGTGTACCAGGTTCCATTATAATTATAAACAACTTGGGTGAAACTATAATTTATGGACGACCTTTGAGCGACGATTAAGTGACCTTTATAGTGTCCACCTAACAATCAGGACCAAATGAAGGTTATAAACTAGCGTGAGGAATTAGAGTGATGATTCACAGTTGAGGGTAATGGTTAGGAATTACATTTATGGTTTTTATCACGAATTGACATCAGCTATAATGCCAAAACTCTATTTAGACTAATGGAACAGTGAATTTCACGCCAAAATCTCAGATCTTTTATCTTAAATCTGATTGGTTCGTCCATAAATTATAGTCTCGTCATCTACTTGTTGACACATTATTACAAACACTACACTTGACAAACTGGTGAAATTCTCTAAACTGACTGAAGTAGTAGACAGTCAAGCGATTTTGTGGTTTTTAAGGCAATGAATTAAATATGAACTATGTTTGTCAGTCCTCACTGAGAAGTCCGTTCAATGCATCATCTTCTTCAACAAATGAGCATCAATTAGATTGATAGTCTGTCAAAAGGTGTTGAGGAATTCTAGTTCACAAATTCATATTTCCTTTTCAATGTTATATTTGGTTTATTGTAAATGGTCAGGTTGTAAAAAGTATCTTCTCCGTTGAACTATTCGAGCGTTTTCCTCCTTTATGGAAGTTGAACTTTTATGGTTTCATGTCAAATCATCATTAATAATCTTCAGTGAATAGAAGTAAAGTTGGTTGAATGGAAATTTAACTTAACATTTTAAACTTATTACTTTGATCATATAACTAGAGTTTGATCAATAGTTAATGCTTTACTATTACGAATTTTATCCCCTTGTCGATTATCCCGTGACAAGATCGCCAATCAGAATGTCAACGTATACGACCTTGGCACTATGCCATACTAATGACATATCAACCTGAACTAGCAGCGTTGAGTCAACTCTGAATCCTTATTAGTTTTTCACGTCTAGCCTAGCCCGTTTGAATTCAGAAAACAATATCAGCCTCCATTGTATAAATCATATATTTCAGATATACGTTGTTTATATACAACCAAACCAGACAGCATCACATCGTAAAATAAAGAAAGTAATAATTATACAAGATCAAGCTAAAATTGGCTATGAGTACAGGAGACTGTAACTAAATAGATTGGGAATAAATTAAGAATAGTAACTCGTATAAAAGTAGCCAATATTGTCAAATGAAAGCTTATGATATAAAGAATGAGGATATATTTTGATGGAGTTTTGTTCTTTGAGCTGGATAGTTTGGTCGTGGAGCTTTCATCGTTTTTCTGAACGAAATCATCAGCAGCACAAACGTTAAGTGGAAGTGAAGTAAATGAGCATATATCCATAAACTAGTTACTTGATAATTATCTAATAAGAATGTATTTAATAATAGTTCATAAATAATTCCTAATAGTTACCCTTGATTTATTCTTCGTTCGGATATAAGATCGACAATACTTATGCATTCAATATCAGTTAGTGATAGTAAAAAATGCCTCCACTAAATTAATGAATGTTGGTTGTATTTGTCATAGATTGATCACAATTGGTGTATTATTATATACCATGAATCATTGGACAATTGTTTAGTTCTAGCATGACATTCCGAGCAGTGAGCACCCATGGTACTGCGATTGCAGGGACATGTTGCTGATAAACACACAAACTAACATGTAACCTAGATTCATGTTTTCCGGCCAACTACCTACAATCTCTTAATATCAATAAAATGGTTCTTTTTTTTCTCTTCCCAAATTTATTTCACTGGATTATACTCTTTAAACAACATCTCCAAACACTAATCTTTCTAATTACTGCTTATACTTTTACTACCTCTACCACTACGGGATTCGAGTCGAGAACTGCATCTGTGTGCTAATGTGGTGTGGCAACTCAAACTGATATACGTACGTACGAAGTTCTACGTTGTTACTGACTGACTGGTTCATTTGATATCTAATCGTGGATTGGTTGATGCTAGAAACTATCACCATTGGATGCCTGCTCATAAGTCCAGTTGGTCGAGCGTTCGCGCGCGAGACCGAAGGCCCTGGGTTCGAATCCCGTTCGCGGGATCGTGGATAAGCACTGCTAGGGAGTCCCACAGTAGGACGAAACGGGCGTCCAGTGCTTCCAGGTTTTGAATTGTGATGGTCTAACATCAATCGGTTCATGATCTCAATCAAAAACTTGATATCCAATCATTTGAACTAATTGTTACACTCTAATTTGATCTATAAAATCCTCCTATCCATTTCACAAATGTTAATATATATAATAAACCCTATAATATTGCTTGAAAGTTAGTATATGCTCGTTTATTCTTAACTTTCTTTTCACATTTATTTATAGACGTTAATGAATGTGCTTCATATCCATGTTCATTTGGATCAACTTGTATTGATCGTGTTGGAACATATGAATGTATTTGTCCAGAACAACGATATGGTCGACATTGTGAAGAAGTGATCATTGAAACAGAACCAAAACCTCCAGCATGTAATTTTTATGGTCGAATTTATGATCATAATGACAATTGGACTTATAGTTGTCAACAATGTCATTGTAATAAAGGACAAATTATATGTACTGATGTAAGTATATACTACTAATTTTACTTTTACTTACGTCTATTACTCCTCGTGAAAGAGCATAGGCCGCTAACCAGCATTCTCCATCCAACTCTGTCCTGGGCAATCCTTTCCAGCTCCTTCCAGTTCTTATTCATCCTTTTCATATCTGCTTACATTTCTCGACGTAATGTGTTATTTGGCCTTCCTCTAGTGCTACTACTAAATAATAATTTTGTATTCACAAGTTGATATTTGCTGAGTAAATTAAAGCCATATTTTATTGTGGGAATGCTATGTTTGAAGAGATTACGAGTTCACCTAGTCTGAGAACAGAAAAAAAGACTCTATGACCAAAGACCAATAAGCTAGCTATTCTGACGCGTTCCAGCCCCACTAACTAGACAGAGAAATCTAAGTTCGAAATGGGGGAATATATTCCACAAGCAGATAGAAGCATAAGTAATAACAACAGACACAAATCAAACGTATATACACAGCATAAAATTGCCCTTGAGAAGCGTTACAAAATAGCACACTAAAAGATACAATGAACCAATAGCGTTCAAGAGTCTCCCAAGTGGGAAATACAACATGAAGGTGAAAATGAGCGTTTTTGGCGCGAAAACCAGAAATTCAAATTCCTAAAAAATTACAAAAATATGGTACTTACCAAGTGAGTTCTGAGGATCTGATATCCTCAACAGCAAATGAATGAAAATCTAGATGAGGATAGTGAATTTATTACATTTGAATGGAGATTTTCTTTTAAACATTCAGAAAAAAAAACAGATGAATCGATAAGAGAAATATTTTGATGGAGTTTTGTTCTCTGAGCTGGATAATCTGGTCGTGGAGATTTCATCATTATTCTGTACGACATCATCAGCACAAACTTCAGGTATACTTCTACCTACTTCTCCACGATCAAACCATCCAGCTTAAAAAACAAAACTCCATCAGAATTATACACCTGAGCTACAAACCTTCTCCACTATCTCATAACAGAAATATGTTTATTCAAATAGCTTGTTATTATGACTAGAGGGAACAATTTTATGTAAGCAACATTAGATCTAACTTTCGTTCTATTTTACATTCATTTATCGGTGCGAAACAATCTTAAACATGATCGTATTCAATGATGCTATCACTGATCAATTTAAACAGTGATTAATAATATGAAATATTTAAACTAATTAATCACTGAGTAGTAAAGAATGTGATATTCATCTACTCCATATTATTGATTGGATTCTTTCCACTAAGATAAAATCAGTCCTGTTAGGACACCTTAAGAAAGTCTTCAGCAGTTGGGAAAAGTATGAAAATAATTCATGCAACCAGTTTTTAATTCGAGCTTCATAGAAAGCTCTAGAAAAACGATGGATTGTGTAATATCTTAACTGAATAACTAATGACTTTTGATACTCAATTTAGTTTGTTCCATTAAAGCCTTCAGAATATCAACAGCATTCATAAACATACAAATTTCGTTTCTTATTGTAAAAAAAGCCATCTATAATAGTGAAATTTCTTTCTCTACCCCCCCACCAGAGTTTTTGTTCCTTTCAGATTTTGGTGGAGTTTTGTTCTCTGAGCTGGATGGTTTGGTCGTGGAGCTTTCATCGTTCTTCTGAACGACATCATCAGCACAAACTTCAGATAGAAGTGAAGTGTTTGAATTTGTCCATATGTGTCTCAAAGCTTGTTCTGTGCACCTCGACGTTGATTGGTTCTTATTGACCTTAACAAAGGAAAACAAATCAAACATCATCTACAAAATAAATTGTGCCAACTGCGAAAAACACTACATCGGACAAAGCGGACGCCCCCTTCACCTTCGCCTACATGAACACCAATTAGCAGTCAAACGCCATGATATCTCTTCACTTATATCAATACACGTGGATAACTACGGACATTCATTCGATTGGAAAAATGTAGAAATCTTATACAGAGGAAACTCCAAAAACACCAGAGAATTTTTGGAAGCCTGGCACTCAGGTCAATCAGCAATCAACAAACACATTGAAATCAATCCAATTTATCAACCAATCAGGAAAATCATGCATAAATATAGGAACAAAAATCAAAACAATGGGAGACACAACCAAAACAAAGAAGTGAACAATGATAAATTTAAGGTCAACAAGAACCAATCAACATCGAGGTGCACAGAACAAGCTGTGAAACACATATGGAGAAATTCGAACACTTCACTTCTATCTGAAGTTTGTGCTGATGATGTCGTTCAGAAGAACGATGAAAGCTCCACGACCAAACCATCCAGCTCAGAGAACAAAACACCACCAAATTCATCCACCTGAGCTACAAATCTCCTCCACCATCTCAAGTTCCTTTCAGAGTTCAGGTATAGGAATGTTTCTTTTAAGAAGTAGAATTAAGCTAAACATTCAGTTCCATTCAATTAGGGAACTGAACTTATCAAGTTCTCTTTAGTTTGCAGATACACCATATTGATAACTCAGAAAGAGGCTTTGTGGATATTATAGTAATTTAATTGTTGAATTCATGAGTTCATTTAAGCTAGACCATCATGGAAAACCTGGAAGCACAGAACGATCGTTTCGTCCTACTGTGGAACTCCTCAGCAGGGCGCAGCCATGATCTCGCCTCACGAAATTAGAACCAAGGACATATCAGTCTCACGCGCGAACGCTTAACCTCTAGACTACTGAGTCAGTCGGCATCCAATGCTGTTAATGCCTAACTTCAACTAATCCACGAAATTAAGAGACATATCTACCATTGTTTTCAGTGAGTTACTATCTCACAACTAACCCAGTTGAACTCCACTGATCACTACTTTTCACTAGAACTCCATGAAATACCTCTTGGAAATTGTCCACTAATGAGAATATAATGATTATAATCACACAGAGTAGTTATTTATTTATTTATTTGAACACATAGAATTTGGTACAAGGGGGCATCAGATACATATGCGCCACACAAATCTCATTAGATTTGTGTAAGAGCTGTGATACTGCTCGGGTGCCCAGACCGAAGCAGGTGGTTTTCTTAGGGAGCCACACCCCGAGCCTTTGACCTAAAGGTCTAACCCACAAGGCAGTGGAGTAACATAAGGAGATACATGCCCATGGTAGCCGGTGACCAACGATTGGTTCATACGCCATTTGTTCCCGCAGCATACTGGAGCCTATGTGCACTATTGGTTTAGGATCCGGTTAAAGTGCCAGACATTCGCTTTTTGTCCTCTCATTTCCGTAAACAACACCCTCTCCACGAGAAGGCAATGAGTAGGGCTTCCCTGGCAGAGGTTATATACGCATGGCCATGTGAGAGTATTTCAAGAGGGAGGGCGGGCCCACCCCACTCTCGGCCATACCAGCGCATTTGAGGGCAAGATATTAATAACTTCTAACTAGTATAGAATCTAGAATTAAGTAAAACTTTATTTAAATTGTTTCATATCTCTTCATTTCTACACTTTAGGATTTCTGCGGATATTGGTCATGTTTACAAATTATTGGACGAAATGATCGTTTCGCTTGTAAAAATGGTGAAATATGTCATATTATCTCATCAAATAGTTTGAATAATAATGATTGTTTTGTACCACCATGTTATTTACGTACAATTTGTTTAAATGCTAGTCAATCAATACAAGAACAATTAAAACAATTATTACCTAATTATTATTTTAAACAATCATTACCGGGTTGTCGACCAAATAGTTTTATATTAAATAATCATTGTGCTAGATTATTATTACATTTTTCTAAATTACGTATGTCATATTCAACGACTATTGATGATATATGTAATGCTGTAAAAAATTTACCATCATTAAAAAAATATCATCACTATGGTAGTAGTAATGGTGGCGGTGGTGATGATGATGATGGGGGTCGTGGGAAATTGGATATCGGTATAAGTTGTGATATAAAAGCTGGTTATTCTATAGAACAACAAAATATAATAGAAGTAAGTTTAATTTTATTGGTATTTGATGTGAAATAAGTATTATTGAAGAAGATTATTTATCTTTATAGATATGCGCCACATAATGCACTTGTTTGGTGTGCGGACTGTGATACTGCCCGGATTCTCAAACTGAAACGGGTGATTCTCTTAGGAGGTCACACTCGGAGCCCTCGACCACAAGGCAGTGGAGCAACGTCAGGAAATACAGACCCATGGTAGTTGTTGATCAACGATTGGTTCATACGTCATTTGTTCCTTCAAGATATTGGAGTCTATATGCACCATTAGTTTGGAATCAGGATTTTTCAACACCCCCAAGGTGGACTCTCCGTATCCACCAACCCGATTAAAGCGCCAGATATTTGCTTTTCGTCCTCTTAATTTCGTAAACAACAGTAATGCCGCGAGAAGGCAGTGAGTAGGACCTTCCTAATAGTGGTTGTATGCACGTGATCATATGAAAGCTGACTCTCCTCACTCTCAACCGTACTAGGGCACTCGGGGGCATCTTTTAATCATATAACCTAAACTTGATTTTTTTTATTCTTAAAAATGAAAGCATCATTAAAAAACAATAGAGGATTGAATATCTTTGGAAAACCTCGACAACACGTACATACATAATGACTCTAGACGGAATTAAGCCTAGGAGTGTCAATTCTCTTAGTGTAAGCATCATACTTGAATTCAATAATTGATACACAGAGTGATTATTATCCAATATTATCCATAATATCTGCCCTGATTGTTCCCACAAAGTGGGGACAACCAAATGTATTTAAACACAATCTTACAGAATATATCAGTAAAATCTGAGAACCAAACAGTAAATTCTTTATTTAAAAAATGTCAATCAATCGTGTCAGACTTCATTGTTCCTTCATTTCCACACCACTCACTCTCTGTTCTCGTTCACTTCTCTTTGATCTTCTTAACTTTCTGGCATAAGGCACTTCACTTTCGATTGCTGATACATACTACTTATATCTATCGACATCAGTAGAATACACCAGACATTACATCAGTGATTTAGATAACGACAAGTTTTGGTGAAATGTTATTCACTACAAAACCGTAATTTCACTTGGCGTTGATTGCTGACACCAACAGTATTTTGTCTGCTTGGTTTGACAGAATGATTATTATAATTTATTGAGGTTTCTCCTCCTTTAGCTTCTATCTCTGTAGTGTCATGTTTTAGATTTACCAGGTGTTCACACTTTGTAGTAATCATTTGTAATGTCATTCCATTATCTTCAAAGCAGAATAGTAATCGTGTTCACACTTCAGCATCTGTGGGTAATTGTAGTCTAGAAAACAAACGATGGACATTTAAACTGATCAGTTGATAATCCATTTAATTTAAAGCGATCCGCTTGTAGAATAATCGTGCTTGCGTATGCTAGATAATCTTTATCAACTTCGTTGGTTAACCGGAGGCATTTGTAACTCCTTTGTGTGATTTGACAGGATATCATTTTTTATATTTGTAGTATTCTTGTGGGTCAAGATTTTGTGTTGGCAGTCTTACCTTTGAACTAGGCCAGTGGATACGGACAGTAATGTAAATAAACTACACTGTCCCAAAGAAATAAATATTGCACGAACCTACTCTAGTTATTAGCTACCACAGAATTGTATTCCCTGATGCGATTGTGTTGTCTAACGGACAGAAATTTAATGTTAAAGATTCGAGAGATAGCGGGTAGGCAAACTGTTAGTTTCGGTTTGGATATAGTTCAGTGAACAAAATTATCTGTCCTTGTATACACTATCAACATATTATCCAATATATTTCATGTTTATTCTTTTCCCATTACCTAAAAAAAGGTAACACTTAGTTCATTGAATGATCAAGTTCGAATTGGTCCAGATGGTAGAGAATATTCATTTATTCATGAATTAGCTAGAAATTTATCTAAAGAAGCTTATTTAGCTGCATCAACTAATTTAAAATTACGTAAAGATAATTTGAAACTATTCAATAGTGGGAGTGACATGAATTATGAGTTTGCCAATAATGATAGTAATCATGATGAGGATGATGATGATGATGATGATGAAAGCATACCGTTACCGCCGATGTCTATGATTTTAGGCACTGATCAATTAGATGATTATTGGCATAGAGTATTGCTTGGTATAGTCGAAATTCAAGTTGATACAATGGTTGTAAATGAAAAGGATTTCGGTAAGTGTAAATATTATTAAACAGTATTTCAATTTAATAACTTTCAATCCCTTTGTTCTGCATGATTTTGATGCATATTAGTTGTCTGTTTACTTATTATTGTGATAGTTTGCTATGTACTACTTTATGACTGTGAAATATTCCCTTAGAAGGTGAAGAATACGAAGAGGTTGTAAGGTTTTTGAATATAGGTATCTTTGAATAATCACTCTCAAAATAGTGAAAACAGAGGTTTGAGGTTACGTTTATGGTACGAGGCAAATTGGATCGGAATTTACATCGAATTTGGGGCATATAGTACATAATGTAAGTTTAATGAGTTTTATAAAATAATAGGACGAAACAAAAACGGCAGCAATTCATTACATGGATTTATTCTTACATCAACACGACATATATGTTCTTAAAAGAATATGATTATCGGTACGAATGAATAGTACATGAAGAGAAGTTTCAGTCGCGATATTTTTATATCATCAGTCAGTCAGTGATCTTGAAAGCTGTTAGAGGTAGGAGGTTAGTTATCACTTCCTGGTTGTCCACACCGTGTAAGGGTTCTTCTAGAGATACCTGAAAAAGAAATTGGGTTAAAATTCGTCTTAGTGACCTGAGAGCGTGACCGCAGTGCTCAATGGATAACTGCTTGAGGTCGTTCACACACATTCTTGTGTTAGCACCGTACTTGTTGGGACCTTACCATCGGAGACGGATATCCGTGGGATAAGGCGAGATGTACATTTTTAGGGTCGACCTTTTCTAACCCCACCCTTCCTTTGTGGGAAGGCAGTATCGCTGTTATGCTGGTTGTCTGAGGAAAACACCTCAGTGCCATAACACCTCTCTACAGTCAGCAGTACGACTTCGCCGTCAGACCTTGAGTTTGTTACTTTTAGTGTTACTGTTCTTCAACCGACCTGTCTGGCGTAGTAGAACCTTGAGAAACGATTGTTCCAGCCAGTATAGCTCGACCACCACATTAAAGTAGCAACAACGGCCAGGATTTTTATATTGTATTTCATTAATATGTTCTCAGATATAGTAGATCAATTCAGTGTTCAGCGGTAGTTTCATAAACTAATAGTATTTAAGATCACAAATGATTACATATTCCTCTCTCTCTCTCTCGTGTTTCATTTCAGGTCCACGTTTATTAGTTCCAATAGTATGTGCTACAATCTTAATTCTTGCATCAATATGTATCTTTATAATATGTTGTTATTCTCAAAGAAAACGTCGTGAACTTCTTATGAAATATACAACAACAATAGCGCCTAATAATGAACAATCATCAAATTTAATACAAGATATATCAGAAAGTAATAATACAACAAATCATCATCATTTCAAGACTATAACACATCCGATCAATATAACACCGACTAATCAAAACTATACTTCATATCATCCATCACAATTATTATGTGAATCATCATTACAAACAAGACGATTTCTATCACCAGAATTTCATGGAAGAAGACCATTAGTTCATAATGATAATAATAATAATAATGGTAGTAAGAAGAATATCAATAGTCATATTCCACCAGGAATTTGTACAATCAATACAAATCGTGTAAATATGAATAAATCCAGTGGAACAGTTGTGATTTAAGTGTTACGTATATATATAAATGAAGTTACTAAAAAAATTGAAGATAGGCTCAATGAGAGATTGAAGATTTCTTAACCGGGTTTCAAATGAAAATTACATCATACACTCTTAGTATTGATTTATAATGCATCATTGTACAGATTATTTTAAAGAGTGAACCATTTCTTTCTTTCTTTTTTGGTGAATCCTCTAATAAATGCACTTTGTAGTAAAAAAGATAATTAATCAAATATGATGTAGAATATGGCATGAATGTAACTTACTTACGTCTATTACTCCTCGTGGAGAAGCATAGGCCGCCTACCAGCACTCTTCATCTAAACCTGTTGTGGGTAATCCTTTCCAGCTCCTTCCAGTTCTTATTCATCCTTTTCACATCTGCTTATATTTCTCGACGTAATTTGTTCTTTGACCTTCCACTTTTCCGCTTTCCTTAACGATTCCAAGTTAGGGATGGCCTCGTGATGCAGTTTGGTGATTTCCGTAATGTTTGTCCTATCTACTTCTAACATCTTTTCTTCATTTTCTCTTCGGTTGGAAGCTGATTTGTTCTCTCCCACAGACGGATGTTGTTGACGGTATCCGGCCAATGGATGCTGAGTATCTTGTGTAGACAACTATTCATAAATACTTGTACTGTTTTGATGATGGTTGTAATAGTTCTCCAAGTTTCAGCTCCATACAGTAGAACTGCCTTGACATTCGTATTGAAGATTCTCACTTTGATATTGGTTGAAAGTTGTTTCGAGTACCATATGTCTTTCAATTGTAGGGATGCGACCCTTGCTTTGCCAATCCTCGCCTTTACGTCTGCATCTGAACCTCCTTGTTCATCGATGATGCTTCCTAGGTAAGTGGAGAATTTCACATCCTCCAGAGTTTCGCCATCAAGTATGATTGGGTTGATGTTCTCCGTGTTGTATTTGAGGGCCTTGGTTTTTCCCTTGTGTATGTTGAGATCTCATAATGCAGAGGCTACTGCTACACTATTTGTCTTCATCTGCATATGATAGCATCAATGTAAGTTGACATAATTTGCTACAAACTACAGCGTAAAAAAGATTAAATGAATAAAATATATATAGTAGAAGTTAAGTGGTGATCTATGATGGTAGGAAAACATAGCACAGATAATATAATTGAATTTTGAACACTTACTACCTACTTACGTCTGTTACTCCTAATGGAGCATAGTCCTCTGACCAGCAGTCTCCGACCCGTTCTGTCCTGAGCCATTCTTTCTAGTTCTATCCAATTGTTGTTTTTTCTTCTCATGTTTTTCCGTTTTCACTTCTCGGCGTAATGTGTTCTTTGGCCTTGAGAAATGCAAGTGAGGTCTTGTCTAGAAGCCCATCTGGGGCTACTGCCGGTCCCATATGCGGGTAAAGGGGGAGAGTTGGCGACCCCATCCCGTAGAAAACTAACTCGCTAAAAAGCGCTAACCAGAATTCTGGATACAAGGAATATGTAATAGTGTTGAAACTTAGTGTAAAGGAGAATGTGTGTATCCGAGTTATTGGTCGGTTTTGATACTCAAGATATTCAGTCATCGTGAACTCCAACTAGGTAGTGTAAAATTACTTGAATGATCGAGATCACCAGTTAGTGATATCGTAGACTGATACCATATCTTGGTTTGGGTACCCTTTACAACTGCATTATATGGACGTAAATGAACTAAACAAATTACTTGATACCCACTTCATTTTCAACTGTGTGTTATACGGCATGAATGTATTATCACGGATGTTTAAGTTATAACTATTGTATTACCCTCTCATCAGTTTGAGAATGACTGGTTAGACATACTTATACTGTGGTTAATTAATCGATAATATAACCCTATTTTGTCTGATAATTCAGAATTTCTATGAGCAATATAGAAGTTGACAAATCTGATATTTGAAGACAATTAATAGCGTCTAAAAAGAATAATAAAATAGATTAGGCGGATGGATCCAGTTAGTGGAACTTTTGATTTTCATGAGTCTCTTATGGGATAACTGGATTGACCATTTCATATATTAAACTAACCAACGAATACCCATCTTACAAAGCAGCCGATTGAAAGTATATGTACTTGTCGATAGTTAGAAAAACTTACGAAAACACCCATGCAATAATGATAAATTTAAGACATCGGCCAACTTGGCGAAAACAACATTAACGGAAAACTGATGTCATAAGACAGTAGACTGTGACAGACCTATGAAATAGACACTTAGCTTTGTTAAACGATGAGAAACTAGTAATATTGTGAGTTCCTTTCTATTGCCGATTTTTACTTCTTGTTTCATTAACTGGAGACAGTTTGTAACGTGTTATCGTAAACATATAACCTGGTTCTCTATTGTCAGTCGGATATTGTATTTATGTATATCACTCTATCCAATTTGGCGATCGTATAATCTCATGTCCAGATCGTATTCCGTTAACGTATCGCTACGAACGACAAATGACTTTCATTTCACTGTCATACTAAAAGCAAATGTTCTAAACTTCTAACAAACTGGGGTAGCGTTAAAAAATCAGTCATATGATTTGAACTGCTGGTGTTTTAATGTGTAGTACATAATGAACTGAAATAAATAAATAGAAACGAATTTTTATATTCAACACAAAACACTTTATTATCAAATCCATTTGGTTACTTAAAACCGACTTTAATTTACAATGTTAGGAAACGTTAGATATAATGAAACGCTAAACAGCACTATATTCACAAACTAATTGTCCTCGATGGGACCCAGCATTGGAGATTGAAGCAAAAGAGAAAACTGATCCATACTCTCTGCAAGAGAGCTAGACGAAATTTTACCGAAAATGCTATGTATATCGAAATTGATAAATTGCAGCAAATCTTTATGAATAATGAACATCCATATTGGGATGTCCTCCGAAAAGCACAAGTCTCTGGAGACTCTAACGAACCGTAGAGATTCCACCCAATGAAAACCTGTTATAGCTGTCTAGAAAATCGATGTGGCATCCTACGATTAGACAATAGCATAAATTGCTTCCTTGCGGATCGACCGAATTATAATGATGTCGTAGCCAACGCTAATAACCATAAGTACCCGTTTTTCTGTACCTTTTTTATTCATACTCTATAATCACTTTCCCTGCTTCTTACATCTGATTTCGCCACTGTGGGGTTCTACACGTCCGAGTGCCGTTAATTGCATGTCGTATTCTGCCGCAATCAAGTAGAAGACATAACAATCTAGACTTATTGAGAAAAATCTGAAGCCAAAACAACAATATGAGACAGTGTCCATAGCACCGAAGAGGACTCTTGCTTTATGGAAACTCAATTTAAACGAGCTACTACAGTAGCACTGTGAAAGACTTTCGAGATCACTGAGAAAAAGTTTCTAATCGCTTAAGCTTTGTATTATCTTTATCAGTCAGTCCATGATTTGCAATTGTGTGGAGGATGATCTCCCGCTTTGGGTTTGATCAATATGCCATTTCGGAAAGCATCTATGGACATTAATCTACATAGATGTCTAAAGGATTGAGAAAGTCTGTCAAAAGCTTTTATCTTGAAGCACCTATTCAATACTAGTCATTCTGCTTCACCAGAATCCCCTTTTAAAATTATGGTCAGAAGAGTAAGCTCAAAAGGACTGCAAATGGAAAAAACTTATATACAGAAGAGACTATTACTATCTATTTGTTCAAGTTTACTCTTTGCTTACGAAGACAATATATTCAGTCCTTTATTCTTCCATAGCCTTAAACTTCCTTTCACAATCTTTCGTAATCTATGATTTTACTATGAAAAATTATTATTTCTACTCTTTTTTTCAACTATATTTACAACTATCAATTGGTCATCATTAGAACATTCAATTATTCTGTTCTTAATAGCTTTCAAGTGGACCAATTGTCTTTATCTTTGAAGTTTCTCATGAATGGATTAGTAAATAACTTCCCTTCAATATCTGATTTTCGTAAACAGTTCATGATAACATAACACTTCAAGAATGTTTAATTGTCCAACATCATTCTTTTTCTTACTATTTTAGCAAGTGATTTATTTATTTAAACACGTAAACATTGGTAGAAGGAGGCACCAAATATATATGCGCCACATAAATCATTCGATTTGTGTGACGACTGGGATACTGTCCGGGTGCCCAAAACGAAGCAGGTGGTTCTCTTCGACGGCCAAACCCGGAGCCTTTGACCTAAAAGTCTGATCCACAAGGCAGTGGAGCAAAGGAAGAAGATGCAGTCCCATGGTAGTCGGTGGCCAATAATTGGTTCATACACTATTTGTTCCTTCAGGGTACTGGTGCCCATGTGCACGATTGGTTTGGAATCGGGATTTTCTAACTTCCCTAGGTGGATCCTCTATATTCACCAACCTTCTTTCCGTTCTCTCAATTTCGTAAACAACACCTCGGCCTCGAGAAGGCAGTGGTTGTATAGACGCGACCATGTGAGAGCATTTCGAGAGAGCTGACTCTCCTCACTCTCAGTTGTACCGGGGCATTTGGGGGCAAGTGAAATTAACGACGAATATAACTGTAAACCTTCGGTAAATTAAATCGTCAAGAAAACTCTCTACGCTGAATTATCTTCATTCTTTTTCACTGAGATATTGGGTCTCATTAATTATTTCTCCATTCATTTAGTGACAGTTTTTGATATATAACAGAATGATTTTCAGTAGAGAAATTCTTTTCAAACCCTAACACTCATTATATTTGTGTTTTTAATCCGATAAATTGGATGCGCTACACTGACATGTTCATAATAAACAGTTATGGATAACTCCAAACAGCTGAAATGAAATCATTTGATGAACAAATTACAGTCCAATATCCAAAACTGATCTAATAAGGGGATAGAGAAGTTCAATGTGTTATGTAAAACATAATTACTCGTTAAACATCAACATCGTTTTGGATAACCTTAGACAACAATTTTACTAATCATGAAAACTGATCCCTGAAAAACAATTTCATTTTAATATTTTGTAATCAACTATACAAATTAGATTAGGGTGTTTGGTACCTGTGTGGTTTTGCCACAGGATTGAACTGTACTATTCAGATTGTAGAGTTATAGCCTATATGGTGTCTGATTCTCCAGTGAAACGGGATTGAGCTGTACGGCTCAGGTTATAAAGTTTAAGCCTGGATCGTGTCTGGTTCTTTTGAAAAGAAATGTAAAATTACCCTGACCTACGAGGGTATATTATATGAGAACAGAAAGGACTAAATGCCATATGAATTCATGGTATTCTACAAAAGATATTGTGTCATCAACTTTGAAAAGGCTGTATGATACAGACAATCTTGAGGAAGCCAAACAAAAACTTACAGTAACAAATATTAAATTTTATGCAAAAACTATAAAAAAAATTGTCGATAACTAGTTTTATAACTTTAATCACCTAACAACAAAATAATCCAAACCGCCACCTTTTTAGTTGAATGGGGAGCCCCCTCCCCATCATCATCATCTTTTACTTCTCTTATAAATCATTGAAAATATTTTGCGGTAAAACAAACACTACGAATCAAGACAAAAAATTCCTTACAACAGGTCAAACAATTAGGTTATTGTTATTTTCTTCATGAATAAACAAAAAAGAAACATACAAAAAGTGTTTGTGAGTGTGTGTGTGTTAGAATGAAATTGAGAACAAATAATCTGAACCAATGAATAAATATGCATATCACCCAGCAACTATGAATAAGGATCTGACATTTTTTCTAAATATTGTACTAAAGTAGTAACACTTGGATAATATTTTTGTTCTGTTATCCAAGGTAGTTTTGTGTATAGTGTATCGCTGTATTGAACAACAAAGGAGAATAGAAGAGAAAAAAGAATGAAGAAATTACACATGATGATAATAATATGTGATGGATAAATAAAAGATGATTAGTAGAGAAATATTAAACCATTTAAAACAAGTATTGTATGTTTGGTATAGAGTTGAATGAAATCTAAAAATCTACCTTTGTAATATTCGAGTAGGTTGGAAGAAGGCTAGGGACGGCTAGATCAAAACATGGCACAAATCCATGAAGTCATTGACAAGTAGATTGAGTCATGTTGGTAGGTGTAAATTACCTGGTTGAAATCGGTGAGACGATAGCAACCGATGGTTAGAGACCTTGAATGACATGGTTCAAAATCGTTTGCAATGGCGCAGGTGCATCCACTCTTTGTGTTCTCCCAAATTCTAATCTTCTGAATTTTTTCGTGTCCCTTTCATTTTTCTCTTTCCAAATTTATTTCATTGGATTATACTCCTTAAATAACATCTTCAAACCTAATGTCTCCGATTACTGCTTATACTCTTACTATCTCTACCATTATGAGATTTGAATCGATAATTATATCTGTGTGGTAATGTGGTATGGCAACTCGAATAGATGTACGTACGTACGAAGCTACCAAGCTCTACGTTCTTACTGACTGACTGCAATATTCGAAACCCAAGACAGTGAACGAATTCGGAAGGTAAAAGAAGCTATACTAGTAGGTTTAGTATTTTTATAGAGATCAGAAGCATCTATAAAAATAATACTAGATATTCAATTATAGCTTGAGTATTTAGTCAGTTAATCTAGAAATAATCATAAACTGAGGAGGAGGGAGGACTTGATATTACAAAGCAAGTGATTTCCTTTGACGACACTAAGAGAGCTTTTGACAAAAACGTTCAATCGAAAAAGAAAAACAATGAAGCAACCACAGGAGATTCAATCTTGTGGTATCGTACATTTGTTTCTTCAAAATGTCGAAACACATATGAACCATTAGTTTCAAACCAGTTTCTTATAAATCCTGCAGGTGAACTCTCCGTAGTCACCAACCCAGTTCATTTTTGCAGAGTTGTAAGACTTCCATTGAGGATGTTATAAACAAGCGGTTAAATACAAACCATTTGATTTGAAGAGTGAAGACTCTTTCCACTATCAATCGAATCAGTTTTCTAGAACACAGTCTAAAAGCACTTATGTAGTAAATTATTTAGGAGCTCCAATACTTCAAAACCAAGAAACCTATTTACGTTTCTTGTTTTTCTGTCACACTTCAAGTGTGAACAACAACGATAAATACCTGGCTAATCAAACATATGCGATGTAATTGTCGAAAAACCACTATCGAAGCAGTACGTAAATGAAACAATTGAGATCATTAAGGCATGCAACTTTCAATCACTTGGTCGACAGTTCAAACCTCATGAAAACTGAGTACTTCAAAGACCCGGACTATACAAATTGATACTTTGTAACTACGCTGAGTTATATTACTGCGAAAAGTACTCAAAACAGTGTACTCACGTGAATGACAATTGTTCACTTTCTGGTAAATCGAAAGTGGATTCAGATTTCATTCGGTTAAAGTAATAAACCTTTCCAGTACTCCTACTAATCTCTTCAGTCCAATTATCTATAAGCACACAAAAACAAATAGAAATGTGAAGTTTCATTAATTACTGAACAACAACTAAACAAAACATGATGATACTATTTAGATCGTGTAAAAAGTCACTTCATATAAAGCATATAACGATTCCGGTTCAAAATAATGCAAAATCTTTTATAAATACTTGAGAACGAAAAGAATTTTTAGTCAGTCACAACGGTTCAAGTTGTCATACGACATTACCGCAGAAAAATGAAGTTGTCAGACAAAATCCAACAATAGTAGAGGTATTAACAGTATCATTGCTAATAGGAAAGATGATACATCAAAGATACGACTCAAAAATAAAATATAAATTAGTCAAATAAAAACACAAAAACCGTTGTAGGGGATATCGAAGCTCAAGTTGCTTGAAAATAGACGGTAGCTGGAGTGTGTTCCAAAGCCAATTGAACTGATCCATAAAGTATGTATTATTACTACCAAAGTTTGGCTTAATAATTTCAAATAAATTGAGCATTGGGTAGATTGTTATAAATAAAAATAAGTAGAAAAATTAGATTTCCTGATATTTTGTGACTCAGTGTAAGCCAATAGTACGAGGGAACAAAGCATCTAATATTCTTGTTTTGTTCCTTTGTTATATTTCTGAACTTGGGTTAATTTTAATTTGGTTATTCATTCTTTGAAGAATTGGCTTAAACTGAGTCACGAAATCTAATTTGTCTAGTTCATTAGGATATTACAAATATTATTTGTTCCCTGCAGTGTTCTGGGGATACGTTCTATTTCCTGAATTGAGAGTGAATAACAGTCCTGCTCAAACTAGAGAATGATCCGAGTGTAAACATGTGCTCTAGAACAAGTAACAGTTTCAATCAAACGGCTTCGGTTGGGACTTTGAATTAAGATGTGATCAAGACATTTGAACATTTTTTCTCAATTAGGGATCGCAAACAGTTTAAAATATGTAATGCCCAATGTGTGAACCAAGAATATCACGTTTGATATTCTGGTGCAGTTCGGTATCGATTCAGAAAGCTCGTTTGAATCTTGGCAACAAGGAAGCGAGTTCCTTGTGCAATATTTCGCTCTATTTTACTTTATGAGTGAAACGTGGTCTTCAAATGTAGAAAACAATTATTCGATGATAGGTGTCCTAGAAGGATTTCTCGCACATATATTTTGAACGAACAAGTGAGCAATATTAAGGTGAGACTCGAGGTGTTAGAGAGATTAGTGGTAAGTCAATTTATGAGATAATGAAAGTCGGACATGTATTACGTATCCTCCATAACAATCTATCTCGATACGTGATGTTTGCAGGTGTAAAAGTAGACTGGAAGAAAATTGAAGGGAGGAAATGTAACCAGATAATCTAGTTGGGATTTAGACGATTATTGTGACCGATAGCAAGAGATGATGTTAGGTGAGAGTTCAGAATCAGTTGCAATCATCCAGATCTATTTACTCTTTATTTTACTTTAAATCATGATTTTCAAGATCCTTTTATTATTTTTATTTCGTGGATTCATTCGTTGTTCACAAATCATATTCTTTATCTATAGAGCTTTTTAGCTAACACAGATACTATTAACATTACTTTGATATTCATCTCACTGCGGTGTTATATTGTGACAATTTACAGATTGATGAACATATATACAGGGTTTTGAGTTGTATACAACACACTGATCGTATGGAATCATGAGTTGGTACTGTCAATAAGTAGTTAACCTGCACAAACTACCTATCTAGAACAACATTTTTGAGTTTTCAGCGATTTTTTTCCCAGCTTAATATCAAGTTCTTGATATGAATCAGCTTTAAAACAAAAATGATAACCAAAAGCTTGACAAGTATCTGTAATAACATGACATAGCAAAACAAAAAACAAAATTCAATAAAATAGTCAACTGAAATATAATGGAAACATGATAAGTGAATGAGTTTGGGGTAGATGAGTGCAGCAATAATAATAATCCAAACCAATTGTTAATATCCTACTTACCTGTCATATGTTGTACTAATAACAAAGAATGTGGTTGAAATGTAAAACCATCGGATAAACAATGCATTGGTACAAGTGTTGGTGAATCTTTACATGGTAGAAGAGGTAGTCTGTAACAAGGAATAAATAAAAAAACGATTGGAAAAAAAATATATATATATAGTGCTAATAAAACATATACACATAGAAAGTGTAGCACCATAATTACCTTTTCTGCAGCAATTCGGAAGACTCTCCCGGTCTCCCACATTATACTAGTATTCCATGTACCTAAATAAATGGTTGCTCTGGTTGTCAGAAGGGGCATAGGCCTCGTGATTTCCGAAGGAACTCGGCTTTCATCATGAGGCATCATAACTCTTCTAAATGAAGACCTCCTGACTCCCAGGGCAGAGTTTAAAAGGTTTGAATAACTTTTTCTGGTTAGCGTTGTTTTAGCGAGTTAGTTTTCTACGTAATCCAGTCGCTAACCCCATGCCCAACCCTCCTTTATCCGGGCTTGGGACCAGCAGTAGCCCCCGAAGGGACCCCAAGCAGAGTTATGATTATCTTAATAAGTCATAAGACTGATCAAAATGAGGGAGAGTGACCATAGAAGACAAATTTATAATCAGAATTATCAATAAGTTTTGAAATCCAGGATATTACTAGGCTGCATGCTTGCCATTAAAACAGGGGCAAATTCAGGAAATGATTGATTTGTAAGAGGGTGAAGTCATTTGTTGATAGTTGAACTCAGTTAAGAAACTACTGACATAATACATTGATACCTGGGAAAACTATTGAAAAGTCTTTTTTCTTCTCTATCATACCTAATCTAGTATCGGGAATTGGGTCAACCCACATCTATATCAGGCTCTATGTTGATAATGTCTGTCTGTTTATTCCGTATCAAAATGAAACAACCACTGTCTGGTGTTCTCATGGTTTTCAATAGTATTCTAGTTGAGTTTAATATCTGTGACGAAAATCCACACTAAACCACCCAAAAATATTTAAAACATCTTCACAAAACCTCAATATTAAAATGCATTATTTCCTGAAACTAATTTTGAAACCAACTGAGGATGGAAATATGATTTCACAAATGAAAACATTGATCATGTGTCTGCGACTAAATCTCGCTACTTTATGCGTACCCACATACATTTAACTGTAACCAACATTAGTAATAATGAAATCGAATAGACTCTTTAATGTTCATTCACTGTAAGTAGTCAACATAATAATTGGAGAGGAGCCAATCTGAATTTAAGTTTTAAGTTATTTTTGTTTAGTGGGATTCAATTGTAACACCATAATGAATACTGATCTGGTAAAAATACAGTTATAATTTGTTCTGTTCTTCCTACATCATATTATTTGGTTAGTACACTACGAATGGAACTTTGTAGATTGTTTTGACTGTCTCATTAACATTACATCAACATCGATGATACTGTATATGTAATACGTTTTAACTGGTATTGCATGATTTCTAATTTACATGTCACAAACATTTTTATGCAATATATTATGAACAATCGTGATAGTTAAGTTCTTATTAGGATGTGAGATAACTACTACCGGATGACAGCTTTGTCATAACTGGAAGTGAATGAAAATAGGGGATTCGGAGGTAATATCTCTCTGAAAAACATGGTATTTAATTTGATCCGGTATGCAAGCTCGTGAGGATGCAGTGCTGCTAATGAGTCGTGACCCAGGATGGTAATTTTTATTCAGAGGTGCTCCTGGATTATTAGTAGTTCCCCCGACTGTTGTATTGACCCATGAACCAATTATTGGTCACCGGCTATCATGAGACTGAATCTCCTCATGTTGTTCCACTGCCTTGTGGGTCATACCTTCAGGTCGAAGGCTCTGGGTGTAGCGTAATAAGGAAATCACCTGCTTCGATTTCTGCAGCCCAGAGGCCATACACAAATCAAGTGACTTGTGTGGCGTATATCTATTTGGTGCCCCTTTGTGCTAATATTTATGTGTTTAAATAAATAAATAAATAAATAACAAATTGTATTGACCCATAACGAAGAAACTTATCTACCTGAACTGAAAATATTTCCTCGAATCTCTAGACAGTCAGTCAGTCATGAGCAACGTTAAACATGGTACACATGTGTTTAAGCTTAAAAATTTACACGGAAATGATTGGAGAACTATTTAAGTGACAAATATCACTGAAGATTTTTCTTTAGAAGAAAAACGACAGGGAAACACTTCTACATTTTCATTTTGTTTCTGAACTAATTACTGAAGGTGCTTAAATGTTTATTGATTTTAACATAATTTCTTAATGCTTCCAGAATTTCAAAAGATTACATTTTCTTACTGTAGTTAGGAGCCCCCAATTGCCCTGGTACGACCGAGAGTGGGGAGAGTCGGCTCTCCCTCTCCAAATACTCTCACATGGACACGCGTATATAGCCTCTGCCAACGAAGTCCTACTCACTGCCTTCTCGTGGCGAGGGTGTTGTTTACAAAATTGAAAGGACGAAAAGCGAATGTTTGGAGCTTTAACCGGGTTGGTGAATATGGAGAGTCCACCTAGGGCAGTTGGGAAACCTTGATTCCAAACCAATGGTGCACATGGGCTCCAGAATCCTGAAGGAACAAATGGCGTACGAACAAATCGTTGGTCACCGGCTACCATGGGACTGCATTTCTTAAATTAGCTCCACTGCCTTGTGGGTCAGACCTTTAGGTCGAAGGCTCAGGGTGTGGATGTCTAAGAAAACTACCTGCTCCGATTTGGGCACCCGGCCAGTATCACAGTCCTCACACAAAACAAATGAGATTTTTGTGGCGCATATGTATTTGGTGCCTTCTTGTACCAATATCTATGTGTAGTTAAGAGTGAAATTGTTATATTTACGATTAATTAGTTTAATGTACTTAAGTCAATGTTAGTAGTATCCACTGTTTCGAATGCAATCACATTCTATATAAAACTATTTATTCCTTAAAATAACCAATGAGATGTTCAAGTGGTATGATATATCCTACTTTATTTAACTTCAATCTTTGATAAACTTAAACAAGGCAGAGACAATAAGATTTACAAAATACAATGATTACATTCTATTTCGATGCTTCTTATCAGCATCAAAACAGAGTAAAGTTACAATTACTAAGAATATAATAAACTATGAAGAAAGAAAGTTTATACTGTACAGTCACGTTTTTTTTATAGTTACTTTCAGTTTAATATTCATAGAGTAAAGGGAGTTTAGTAATCAGTTATGAAATCAATATACCATAGATTAGGTGCGCAAATATAATTAGTCAATCTTAATCAACATTAAATCGGGCATAAATGTACGTTAAGATTCAGTTGTCATAGGAGTTTGATGAAAATTTACAGCTTCATTGAAAAATTTATCATTATTACAGAATACCGTATGTTTAACCTCGGTGTTGCTTACCTGGTTATCGTCCCATAATACCCTAATAATGGTTCGGAGATATCTACGACTAGAATTTTGCATTTCAACCATATTGTGTGCTTGTATAGATAAAGTTTGACATTCATAAAGTAATACAGATATAATATACAAAGACTTTTATAAACATGTAAATGCATTTTAAAAATAAGAAGAAGAAGAAGAAGAAGGAGCGGGCAAAAATTACACAACTTACTTTTTCACATAATCAACAATTTCTGACAATTTTAGAAATGGTGGTACACGAACATTGGATGAAGTCATATCTGGAAAATTAATTATATTTGTCATTTGTTCAGCTAATTCCATTCTAACAAATAAAATGTATGTTGGAAGAGGAAGAAAGGAATCATAAACATCTATGTTGTAAACGAAGTTACCATTTAATAAGTATGTTAGTTGTACGTCAATATGTAGTAAAACCTAGTAAATGTATATGCATCGATACACGTTAACATATAATCTACATGGGAACAGTACAGTGAAACTATCAAGACAAATGTAAGAGTAGTAGAAAGTTATACTATCAATGATATTAATAGGAAAGTCTGGGTATAGACGATATGATTCCAGAAGGATAAATTCCTGGATTGAAAAATTATAAGACAACCATAAAACTCAGGGATCTAAGATAAAGTAGGGATTGAATTTATCTAAATTATTGTAACCGATTCTGAGTCATATAATCATCTAACGTCTCCGACAGCTGGTTAGGATGGTTTTGTGAATCCCGATCAGGTGGTTTTCATCTACCACCAGGGCTAACTTCAACAATCTATAGCATCATTGACTGATTAATATAAAATATGTATAGACTTGTACTGACTAAAATGAATTTGAAACTATTTGTTGTATAGAGAATATACAAGTTTGCTGATAATAAACTTTCAATTATTACGAGCATGTTAATTGTAATAGAGACTGAGTACAGAGTTTTTGTAATTTCGTTCACAGAATTATGAAACAATGAGGACTCGTCAATTGAAACTTGAAAATACATTGAACAGTAAAACGTCTAGATTTCAAGACTAACTGACAGTCATAAGTTCCAGAAAAATTTGATGATTAAAATCCATTAGCATATTAGTTTGTATTAATCAGTTAGTTAATCGTAAACAGTATCGAATATGACATTGTCCTCATGAGTCTGTCTCCAAAACAGTGAGAGAGACGATGTTAACAAGATAAAAATTAAAAAAGTAGATGCGTAAACAGTGAAAAATAATGGAGAATATACTCTGCAAAATGATTTCGGAGAATGAAAAATAATCACAAATAACCAAATAGATGAAAGCAAACAATGAACGAATCCGCACCGCTGCAACGGAATCATTTCCAACAACGGATATTTCAATTAGCGAGATAGACATTAACCAAAGAATATCGGAACAATCTCAACACACCTTAAACGAACTTCATCCATTGATAAAACACAACTGATTTTCAGTGGTTCTAGACTCTTAATCTACTTGTCTATATAATAGAAACAACCGGATATCTACAGTAAGTAGGTAAAAGTTGTATATCTAAAGACAATAATCTCAACAGTAATAAATATGAGTATATTCAACGATTATATCTTAAATCAATGAGTGAAATAAACATAAGAACAACATGTACTTACCTTTTCCTGTATGGTAATTTACGACAATCTCGACCGTAGATACACACAACATCATATATAAATAAACCGTGTTTTCGTAAACCATTCTATAAAGATCCAGAGAACAATACAAAAAAAAAACTTTTAAGATTTTTAACAAACATGTTAATGAAAGACAAGAGCACAATGAATCATTACAAGAAATAAATGACATACACACACCCTCTTGATACCAGAAGTACAATAGTTTATCACTAACATAAATGAAAACGGATTTAATCGGTAAAAGTCAGTTTCTGATTAGATGGGACTGAAAACAAATGCACACACACACATATCAAAATATGTAATTTGTACACTAAACAATGAAGAACTTAATAACAATTGTTATCAATGAAGGAAGTAAATCTTAGAGTACCACAGTTCCCGACAAATCATTGTTGATCAGAGGATCAGCATCGTTCTATAATATAGACGGACAACAGGTACTGTTGATGAAAAAAATGCTTTGAAAATGTTTTTTTTCCTCCAAACTAATTAATTTTAATTCATTATTCAACTGTAGATTATAAATCATCGGACGTCAATCATATACGACTAGCCGACTGCTACTCAAACAAAAGATGAGATTCTATCGATTTTCTGGGGGGGTTTTAACTAGCCAGATAATCGCTGACCTATGTTTATTCAACAAAATGTATTTTAATGTCAGAAGGGTTTTTGTGGATATTATAGTTATTTTAATGGTTGAGATCATGAGTCAATCGAATCTAGACAACCATGGAAAACCTGGACGGTCGTTTCAATTGACTCATGATTTCAGTTATTAAAATTACTATAATATCCACAAAACCCCTTCTGATACTAATCAACATATGCTCAATGGTGATTGATTTCAAGAGGTATTTCCTGGAGTTCTGGTGAGAAGCAGCGATCAGTGGAGTTCAACCGAGTCCGTTGTGAGTTAGTAACTCACTGAAGACAATGGTGGATGTTTCGTTCAATTTCGTGAATTAGTTGAAGTTATACATTAATACCGCTGGATGCCGGATCAGTGGTCTAGAGGTTAAACGCTCGCGAAACTAGACCGATAGGTCATGGGTTCGAATCTCGTGGATGCGCACTGCTGAGGAGCCGTAAAATAGGACGAAACAACCGTCCAGTGCTTCCACGTTTCCCATGGTAGTTTAGCTTCAATTGAATCATGTATTCATTTAAACAAACACATTTAGCAAAGACTATAATCAACACTTATAATGTGATAATTTAGTGAAAATTTTTGACATTAAAGTATGAAATTAGTAACTACTCAATTGTTATCATTTCAGTATGTAGTGCAAAAATTAATTGTTCAATAGTCAAAATAGATAAACAGTTTAGAAAAGTGAACTTTAAAACAACAAGAGTTTAATTTAAAGCTAACGATACAACCCTTTATAATGATACTGAGTTGCATTATATGTCAACAAGGAAATTAAAAGAACATATAGGATTATTATGAGATTTGTATATCACAATTGTACTACTTAATAATGACTAATATATATTCTTGCATAACCACTACACGTATTAAATTGACTGAGTGTAAGTACTTATAGTTCACATACCCAAAGTGACACTAGTCAGACAGCTATTGAGGACCAGGAAGCATTGGACAGCTGTCACATCCTGCTATGGAAATCCTTAGTAATAGGCAACAGCGATTTCGCCAAGGATCGGTCGAGCTCAGAAACCCCAGATTTAGCAGATAGCGTCCAAACCGTAAGATCATTGACGTGATATTCAATGGTGGAAAGTTTTAATTTTAATTAGTCTACTATATTACGCAATCATCATCCAATACCGTTAGTGAATAACTGTTTGATTATAAACTATCTACTTTCTTATTGACCGGCTCAATGGTTCGACCAGTTTTATATTGAATTTGTTACTTTCGTCCCTGCCTGTACGAAGTGTCGATTGTTGTTTTTCACTTTATCACTTTCAATGTAATTTTGTAATCGAAATCAATTTTAATTTAGTCTGTGAAATTATACCATAAATATTCTGAGGTTAGACAGTTTTGCGATTTTGACCAACTATGAGTGCATGGTTATTACTGTTAATTAATCAATAATAATTCCATTAAATAAAATTAATTTAACTCATTCACCAGGTAATTGAACATGACCTAAATGGCCTGGTACGGCCGAGAGTGGAGAGAGTCAGATATTCCTCTCGAAATGCTCTCACATGGACACGCGTATACAACCAATGCCAGCGAAGTCCTACTCACTGCCTTTTCGAGGCGAGGGTGTTGTCTACGAAATTGAGAGGACGAAAAGCAAATGTCCTGCTGTTTAACCGGGTTGGTGGATATGGAGGATCCACCTTTAGGAGTAGGAAAACCCTCATTCCAAACATATGGTACACATAGGATCCAGGATCCTAAGGAAACAAATGGCGTATGAACCAATTGTTGGTCACCGACTACCATCGCATTGCATCTCCTAATGCTGCATTGTGGATTAGACCTTTAGATCAAAGGCTCTGGGTGTGATCCTCTAAAAAAAACAACCTGCTTCGGTTTGGGCAACTGAGCAGTATCACAGCCTCCACATAAATTGAATGATTTATGTAGTGCATATCTGTTTAGTGCCTTCTCGTACTACTGTTAATGTGTATACATAAATGAATAATAAATACTACACGGCTGCCCAAACGGAAACAGATGGAGTGGGGTTTGAACCTAGGCTAAAAGTCGAACATCCTAACCACTAGGCAACCACTCACTGCATCCCTATTTGTGTACCAAATGTACTATGTTGATAATTTTTGTTTTAAAATGTCATCTTCAGATATGAAGAACTATTCTTATAATTATAAATAATGAAATTACAACTGTGAAAATAGTTTCTTGTATCTGAAGATTACAAGATGATCACAATTATAGAGTAGGGCCCAATGAGGAGGTCCATGCATTTGATACGGCTTAAATGAACAAACGGTGACTGGGGTGAGTGTTGCTGAAGAGTTCTATATTAGGATGAAGCAGCTATCCAGTCCTCATTCTAGTTTTTAATGGTACTTCAGAATCAAGTTGTGTTTCCCCATCATCTATCATATTGTACGACATCAAAAACAATCATTCGAAGTATAGGAAACAAACGTGTACTTCTTTACTAAATTCTAACACAAGGAGGCTGAAATTACACACAAACCAAGAATGCAATTAATCTTATAATCATAAAACATTTCACAAGATAAACATTATTAGTCTTTTTTCGAAAATTACCTTCACAGCATATTCATAAAATGGTTGGCCCCAAATTAAAGTACTAGGTGGAAGTCGTGGGTTTAGTCTAGGTATCACTTGATCTAATCTATTCCATTGATCTCCATCAACAGTGCAATAAGTATCCTAAAGCAATTACAAACAGAATAAATATACACAACTAATCTCAGAATGTAAATGATATGATAATATATTAATAGTGATATGTATATAATAAAACAATCAAAGTGCAAGGATGGGGATTTGTGGGAATTTTCCAATTTAACTTCGATTTTTATTATAGATATCAACTGTTGAGGTTGATAAGTCTGGTACTTAAACGCTTCATTATAAATTTCTAGCTGTTTCCTATTTTCCCAACAATACTTCTATTGTTGAAGCCCAAACGGGAGAGAGGCGAAATGTAGATGCTCTCATTCCAAGATTGAGTTATGTACAGAAAGCAAGAGTATTTGCAGATTTATGGGTGTCCTTGGAATTTTGAAAGATTCTCGGAATGATGAATTTAGTAGCAAAAATGTTAATTATCCAATCAGTGTAGCATAAAATTCATTGCCATTCTAGAAGTTCATGAAGTCTTCATATGATACAGATTGATCAAAGTACTTTTAGCTTTTCCCCAGATTATGAACCCTCTTTTGAAGAATTTTCAACGGCTAAGAGAAAGATTAATAACTTAGAAGACCGAGGTAATTTACACATCATACTTTGGGACCGTATCTTTGCAGTGCACAATTCATGACCTCTCATTAGGTCGAACCCAAGAGTCTTAGATCTTTCGATGAAAACAATACTTTAAGAAAACTGAACTGGAATCTAGCAGTCTAATTCAACCAATTCACGATATAATGAAATATTTAACCAAGATTACGGAATTATTTTATTACTCCCAGATGTAGTTATACAACCCTCTTCCATCACAGTTTCTTATCAGAACTTTGAAACGTAGCCAGTAGTACGTATAGGTTCAATAAATAAGATCCAAAATGATGAATATGAACTTATTTTTATATCCTTTTTATGAATATTTCTGAATGATCATGTATACCTATGTCTAATGTAAACTTTAAAAAAAACCGAAATACGGTGTAGTAAATAGTAGTTGAGACAGGTATACTCAATTTACCTACCGTAACTGCAGATCCATGTGAATAAATGAACATTGTTTGAGCTGGTTCAGAAGTTGATGTAATCGACGGATTACCGCATACTAAAGCAATTCGACTATGATATAAAATATCTAAATTATTTAAATTTGCATTAGTGAATGGTGTAAGACGTATATTTGCACGATATTCTGATGGTAACGTATTGAGTGATGTCAAATTTTCGCTATCCTATAAAGAAACAAGAAGTAGACGCTAATATACTAACGGATAACATATTTTGTATAGTATCGTAAAATTAACTAGTTTAAGTCACTTTTCTACAATTCAGCGATCATATCATGTGATTGACAAATGTATAAGTAATTGATTCGAATACGGTTTCGCATACTTCGGTTTACACACGCTGATAGTATCATTAGTTCATACGGGAGAAGCATAATCCCCATGCAAATGATACATGCATCTGTTGGCTTTTAGTGAGATGTATTATTCTATTAAATTAATATAGTTACAATCTTTCTTAAGTCTATTGTGATGATGAAATTTAACTGTTTTGAAGGTTCGACCGAGCCTACTTGACTAAAAATCTATCCACTAAGATCCTATCATGTTAAAAACATTTAAACAAATGTAGAAGAAGAAGAAACACAGAAAGTCTTAAGTTCTAAAGTGAAGTAGTGTTGATAACTATATCACGTTGTATAGGTAGAGAAGGAATACGCACAGATAAATAATGCCTCTAGAGACCATGCCTACCCACATACAAAGGGGGGAAGTTACAAAAGATCGACTAGAATAGTAACAAAAATTGATCGCCTCACAGATTCCTGGCTTAAGCTGTCTAAAAAAATGAGGTGTTCACTTTCTCAATACTGACCTTTCGAACAATTAATTGTCTGCTGAACGGCATTATCGTTAGACGTGCCAATTATTGATAGAGTAATTTCGATTTTGGACGTGACACTTTTGGTTTATTGTTTTATCTTTACTCAACTGACCTGACTGGATGATATCATAAGATGTCAAAGAAACAATTTTATTCTATTCATTCCGATAATTCAGTCAGTCAAAATATTAATAAAGGACTATAATTCTTAGAAGTTAAGAATAATCTCGAGAATAGATAGAATTAAACAACCCTATCATTTAACAAAACATAAAATCATCTTGGTGAGTTATAAAGTTATATGTATTGGGATGTGATTCATCATGACACTGGTGAGTATTGTGAAAGCAAGGAACTGAAGAAAAAAGAGATCAGAACAAATATAAACTGTCCAATAATAACTTACACCTAATAAACGACGAATAATTGGTGAACGATTAGTGGATAATAAAGGCCAAGGGACAGACCGACGTTCTGTTAACGGAATCTTGAAAAACAAAAGTCAGTCAATCATAGAGAATGAGAGAATAGTTATGTAACAATAACAACAAACAGTTGATATAAATCTTAATACAGGTTACATGAACTATATCACTTTTCATTAAATAGGGACTGGTTTTACTATCGAAACTACCGATATTTAAAAAAAGGTGAAACGAGCTTCTAACTTGTGTTGTGGTTTCGTTGGGAATGGATAAATAATGAAGCTCTGACGAACAACAGAAGCTACTTTTGGCAACATCACTTAATTCAAAGTTTGTAAAAATATTAACATTCAATCCTGTCACTAGGTTATTTCATAGACTATAAGCTTTAGTTTGATGCATGATTTACTATCATACTCTTTCCTATTTCAAAGCTATTATAACCTTTGGTACTCCATTTTTCCACCCTAACCCCCCCCCCAATTTGGACATAATTGTATTTTCTTATTGTTTGTGCGTCGGGGTTGTGTTGGTCTACTCGTTATTTACGTATCTTTTTACATGAATCTCAATCAGGGATAAATCAAGAAGTGAATCAGTTGACTCGTCCCCTCTCTCGTTTTCGCCTCTCTATATAAGGTCATTAGTTTCATTTCGGAATCATGCATTTTCAGCCTCAAGGTTGGACTAGTTAGTCTACTGTGCCAAGATCTTAATCTAGATCGAGACAATTTCTCTCTTGTATATTATTGGGTAAACAGATCAAGGACGTTACAGTTCTATGATCCGATTAAAAACAATAATTCAGTGAACGGTTTTATAGTCAAAAGGTCGAACGATTAGTGCTACAACAAAAGTATACATACAGGTGTATGGACTGATTCAGACAGAGATATATGCAAAGTGATCTTGATCAGAACGACCACTTACTCGTTCACGAACTTCACACACACTTGCATCTCATCTAATGTGTAGACCTGAAACAAGATGTGGTTTATTTGGGCTTTTAAACATATCGACCAGTAATCAACCCAATAACTGAAGGATGGAATAAATAGTGTTCGCAACTGAAACTCAATGATTAACACTGAGTTATTACTTAAACAATTGCTTTCATCATCAAACCAAAAAAGTGATTACTCACATTGATATACGACGAAGGACATCCGACAATACATGTCCCAACCTTCAAAGAGATATCAATTTTTCCGTAATTTTAAATATGCTTGCCCGACCAAAGGCAGAAACCACGAAGCATATCTGAGGTAGATAACTTGAAAGATAGTCTTCTTGATCATTTGGTAAACACCAATTGAAGACCCACTAAAAGTTATGGGGATAATGGAAAATAATTTCAATCCTTTGATGAGAACTTGGTTTTCATATTGATGATTTCATCTTTTTACAGTAATGTGTCGTGACAAATTGAACCGATGCGTATGTGTTCCAGGTCCTATGTTGTCAATGTCTGAATCACTAAGATAGAGATGTGATTAAGTTGCTTTATATCAATGAAGCGTCTAATATAAATCTCCCTAGAATGTCTAACAATTTGGCGTACTTAGCTCGCATCAAGTTCAAATTAACTAACAGTCCTTAAAGTATCAATAAAAACTATATGATGAAATCCATGAAGATTGTGAAACACAAACAAGGAACACAACAACAACAAACAAGCAAACAAAAAGATTAAACATATGAACGAACACAATTACCTTCCATTTTTCTAAACATGTTCTATACAATTCATCTTGTCTCTTTTCAGTAAGACTGTGATCTTGAGAGAATGCTAATAGTTTTGACAAAGCGATACATTGATGTTTAGCAAAACTAAAGGGAAGACAAAAAGAAAACAAGAGACATTCAGTCGAACATTTGACTTAAAATACACTAAAGCAATTAAGTTTACTAGGAAATTAGTTTTTCATAATCAATCTCGTTAGCAACATAGAACCTGATATACATGTGCACTAAATTAAGTTGCCAAATCATATTAGTGGCAGACTTTAAGGAATAAACAGTACAAAAAAATCAAGAAATTAAAACCTCAGAGAAGATAAACAATGAATGTATCTACATCATTACGACTGGTTCTAGGCCATATTATTCAGTAAAACCATATCATCGACTATAGAGCCCTTAATATGATTAATATATCTAGCCATTACCGAGAGGAGAGATGAGGGTATTACAATGGGCTATGACACATCAATTCAATAATATCTATTTGCATAATCTTGAAACCATCTGATAAGTCTTGTCGATCGAACGCTATATTCGTTTTCCTAAGCTATTCTGGTAACCCGCAGTCTAGAACTACACAGCGACTTGAACACCAGAGAGAAGACACAAGTATGAGAGAAAATACTTTATCCCAAGGTTCAGAAAATCATAGGTATTTATAGATGTTGGCGTCTGTTAAATCAACATCATTTTTCAGCCAATCCGTTAACGACATATTATGCTACCGACCAATATTAGCATGCCACGTTGGAATTCTAGAACGTTCCATCATACTCTGATTGGCTAGGACCCTCGGCACCTTTTGGGCTTCTGGAGGCTCCGTTGAAGTTCTCCGGAAGCCGACTCAAAACCATTCTACAGTTGCATTAAGCTTAACATGAAGCAAACTAAATGGAGTTTCTTGAAGTATTCATGCAGAAACTACCAGTTCAATCTATCTCAGCTTCTCAAGAGAGTTCTGATATAATAACAAGGCAGCTGAAGTAATTAACTTCTGATAACTTCTCCGAATTTTTCGATTAATGGAAACAAAAATAGAACATGTGCATTATCAGAAATAAATCATTTTTTCAAAGTGTTTATCTCTTATTTAAACACATAAATATTGGTACAAAGAGTCACCAAATACATATGTGAAACACTTCGTCATTTGATTTGTGTGAGGGCCGGGATATTGCACGGGTCCCCAGACAGAAGCAGGTGGTTTTCTTAAAAGACCACTCCCCGAGCTTTTGATCTAGAGGTCTAATCCAAAAGGTAGTGAAGCAACGCTAGGAGATATAATCTCATGTTAGCCGGTGAACATCGTTGAGTTCATACGCCATTTGTTTCCTTAAGATCCTGAAGTCCATGTGCACAATTGGTTTGAATTTAGGGTTTTCAAACTCCTCTAAGTGTATTCTCCGTATCCACGAACACCAACGTGGTTAAAGCACCGGATATTCGTTTTTCGTCCTCTCGAATTTGTAAACAACACCCTCGCCTCGAGAAGGCAGTGAGTAGGAAATCATTGTCAGTTGCTGTATACGCATGTCCATGTGAGAGCATTTTGACAGGAATATCTAACTCTCCCTACCATCGGCCGTACCAGAGCATAAGATTGATCCAGCATAAATTTTGCAAAACTACATTTTCGCTACCTAAATTTATTATTAAACATACAACGGACAACAGTGAACGGTATCGTAAATAGACTTATTAAATAGACAAATAAGAACAAACTTGTATGTAGTTTCCGGTAAGGAAAGCATGCAAAAAAAATCACAACATACTCTTCATTCATCCCCTGAATAAATTGCATAAATTTTTCATCTTGTTCAATTATTTCAGTGTGACATATTCTTAATACATCCAATTTTGGATTGATTGACGATGATGAAGACACTGATTGGTTTGTTTTAATTTGATTTAACTTTTCATTAACTTGTAAAAAATGATTGATCACTAGACCAAGTGAACCAGATTGTTTCATATCAGTTAGAATGCCAAACTTTTTACTGGCTTCCACATCATCAACAACAATACCATTTGTGGTGGTTGTTTGTTGTTGTTGACCTGGAAATTTACGTGTCTTCTGTCGGAAACTTGACTTTTGATCAGTGGAATCCGAATGACTTGTCATGGATGATGATGATGATTTGGGAGCAGGTACACAACCAGCCATTGTGTTTAAAGATGATCGTAAATTTTTGCATACTAAATAACTTGATGGTTAGAAGAGAAAGCAACAACAATCACCGATAAAATGAACAGTTCGATAAATAATATATCAAATTACATAATAATAACCATCTACCACATCTACCAAGAAAGGGGAAATTAGGAAGTCATACAATGTCAACATTATTGTAACTTAGTAGTTTTTATCAAATAACTATTACAAATTATGGTGATCAAATTATGATGTGACATTAGTTCATAAAGTTAATCACCGTTGGGTCGAGAGTTCTGCTGAATGATGTAAGCCTTATAATTAGAGTGATCTTATAGTTGGATGCCTAAAGATGATGCGTCTAGCAACAAAAATCGATTTCAGTTACCAAGATCCATCCATTCTTTGTAGTTTGAATAAACTATGAATTTGATTATTATCTCATACTTTCCACCATCCAATTTTATGCTATTCCTTTATCATCTATGCAACAAACGTTGACCCTAATGATGCTGACTCAATCAAGCTACATTGACTGAAACACATGTTCCTTTAGTTTCTACCACACAATGAAGGTTGATTGGAGAGTGGTATGACTAGGGCAACAAACTCATGATCTGAGCAGTAAGTCGTACTGCAGAACGTACACAGATGTGACTGCAGGAAGGTGGTTTTCTCAGACAACCAACAACTACAGCCATATTACCCTAGCATAACCGAAGGAGAGAGTTTAAAAAGGTAGACCCCAGAAATACCAGACATCACCTTGTCTCACAGATAAGGACTCTAATGATAAGGCCTTAGAAGTACGGAGCTAACACAACTAAAACTATTCACATAAAATTTGTCTGTAAATAGCCTTAAGCAGTCATCCGTTTGATTCTACGAGTCACACTCTCATGTCGTCAAGACCATCCTCTAACTCAGAATTGCTTACAAGAACCCCAAAAAGTATTGTTTTCTAAACACATTTTAGGAATTTCACCCAAAAATATTCATTGATTAAAAGTAATTTTCAGTACTGTTTTTGGCTTTTTGGAGAATTACCCCAAAAATTAAACATGAATACTAACAGTTTATATTCATTTGTAAAGGCGTTTATTTTCTAATTGTCAGTATTGACAACTGAAACTGGTCAGTTTCTACTGATATACATGTCTTGAGCGGATTGCTAATAGAGAAACTCATCAATCACAGTCTATAATATCAACAATTGTAAAATACAAGCCCTTACGAACTAAACCTGTACCCGTCAAAAAAGCGAATGACTGCTATCTGAACTCAGTAGCTCAACCGATAGTGTGTTGATGTTTGAAGTGAAAGGTATTGGGTTCAAGTCCAACTGTAATCATCATCAACACTGGAATGAAAGTATATTCAATTGATGAATCCTGGAAATGAGACGAAACTCGTATTCTGGATTCTACTGTTAGATATAACTTAAATTAAATAAGAAAAATTTATACTTAGCAAACAGGAATAAACAAAACCCAATGGAATGAAACAAAATATAAACTAACCGTTCCGAATTAGCTGGTCGACTAGTTACAGGTTTTACAATGAAAATCTCTTCAAATAAATAACCCATCAAATAAATTATACCAATTGTGAATTCAGTGAATGTATCAAATAATTTTGTTAAAAAATGTCCACCTAAATTTTTCAATGATTTTAAAAAAAAGAAATGCAAATATATAATTCATATCAGAGGAGTTTTTGTGAATGTTATAGTAATATCAATAGTTGAGATCATGAGTCAGTGGAAGCTAGACCACCATGGAAAACCTAGAAGCACTGGACGGTCATTTTGTCCCATTTTATGACTCCTCAGCGTGGATTGGTTATAGTTAGACATGAACACTGTTGGATGCCGACTCAGTAGTCTAGTGGTTAAGTGCTCGCGCGCCAGACTGATAGATCCTGGATTCCAATATCGCGAGGCAGGATCATGGGTGAGCACTGCAGAGGATTCTCACAATAGGACCAAACGGCCGTCCAGTGCTTCCAGGTTTCCCATGGTGGTCTAGCTTCAATTGACTCATAACCTCAACTATTGAAAATATATAATTATTTAATATCACAATCAATTGTTAATCGATTTGGAAATGAAAAAGGATTTGTAACTGAGGTGGATGCATCCACTGGCGACCTGCATGAATATCTGAGCTACCAGTTCCTCCCTACTATCTTGATATTTCAACAAATTATCTGTTTTCTTGTTTGTTTTAACAAATCATTATGCCTATTAGTATCAAAACCTATTCAGGTGTGTTTGTGAAATGTTTATAACCTTTCACTGTACAAGTTACAAAAATGTACAATCGAAGATATCGTAATCACTGGCAATATTGACAGAAAAAGAATGAACATTATTCAGATACCCATTTCTGAAATTCTAACATCTAACTGTCGATCACTTAATACTTATCGTCAGGATGAATCAAGAAATAAGAAAAGGAAACTCGCTAAAATACTGTGATGAGAATTCTATATTGTACCGAAAATACGATAATGAATAAAGCAAATTTAATAATAATAATAATAATAATAATAATAATAATAATAATAATAATAATATCACAGATTGAAATCATGAGTCAATTGAGGGTTGAGAGCTCACTGAAGACAATGGTATACGGTGGCGCAACTTCGTGGATTGGTTGGAGTTAGACATTAACACCATTGGATGCCGGCTCAGTGGTCTAGTTGGTTAAGCGCTTGGCGCGAGACTGATAGGTCCTGGATTCGAATCTCGTGGGGTGCGGAATCGTGGATGCGCACTGCTGAGAAGTCACATACTAGGACGGAACGGCAATCCAGTGTTTTCCATAGTGGCCTAGCTTCCATTGACTCATGATTTCAATCTGTGAAATTTCTAAAATCTCCACAAACCCCTTCTGATAATAATAATAATAATAATGCTTTTGATTGTGTTATATACTCTAAGTTCAAAGTAATTTAATCATGAAGCTTTCATCATCGACACAGACTTATCTGTTCATCAACGTATACGGAAAAGTGTCAATCAATCACGTAACTAAAGATCAATGAAACAAAAAAGTGCTGAATGGGAGTATAGTGACAAAAACTCACAAAACAACCATTCATAGATAAACTCATCAGAATAGGCTGAATTAGAGCTTGTTGGTTAATTAAAACAACTAGATTGTACCTGAAGTAAGCTCCGATAATGTTGTCTAGAAAGATAATGAAAATTTCACAATTATACTACTACCTAGCTCGGAGCAAGGAACCTCATGAAAATTTAAAAGGTAGACTCAATATTCAAGAATCCCATCACATTAAGCAATTCAAACATTTATTACGTACGACTACTCATTCCATCCAACTGTTCGGCATAAAAACCAGTTGGGAAGAAATACACGGGATGATTATATCAAGACATAATGATAGTTTGTGAAGTAATTGATTATTTCAACAGCTGAGATCATGAGTCGATTGAAACTAGATCATCATAGAAAACCTAGAAGCACGGGACGACTGTTTCGTCATATTGTAAGACTCCTCAGCAGTGTGCACCCACGATCCCGCATCGCGAAATTTGAACCCAGGACCCGCCAGTCTCACGCGCGAGCGCTTAACCACAAGACCACTGAGCCGGTCGGCATCCAACGTGTTAATGTCTAACTTCAACTAGTCCACAAAATTGAGAGAGACACCCATGGTTGAGCGCTCGTGAGCAAGACTGATAGGTCCTAGGTTCGAATCTCGCGAGGCGGGATCGTGGGTGCACACTGCTGAAGAGTCCCACGGTAGGTTGAGACGGCGGTCCAATGCTTCCAGGTTTTCCATAGTGGTCTAGCTTCCATCGACTCATGATCTCAACAATTAAAATTACTATAATATCCACAAAACCCCTCCCTCTATTAATTGATTATTCTTAATCGATTTCTTCTCTGTCGATTTTCTCATCTCTTTTATATATGGAAACTAATCCACTACTATTATAAACCTTTTTTTAGTTATTTTCTGTTCATATACGTTTGATTTCAATTTTGTTGTACTAAACCACCATACGCATTTATTACAGGTTTTAGCTTGTTTAAGTCAGTCCGTCAATAAGTCAGCATTCACATAATCAAAATAACTGTAAAAATAAAACAATTTCTAAGGCGTTTGAAATATCGATGGCATAGATTGGTAAAATTTAGTGATATATCAATGCATAGATGTTAGATGATTGAAGATAGTCAGAGGGAGACTCTGAGGTTAAATTTCATGCTAATTGGCACTTAGTGCCAAAGCGTACCTACGGTGTTGTACATATATAAACGAAGTTATGAAACAGACGAATTACAAACAAAAAGAGATTTCACAATATACACCTACCTACCTGGTCTAAGGTTGATTAATGCACATAAACACTGACATAAGTACAATTGTTTAGACATAACCTCTTGAAGATTATACTGACTAGAAACATCGAAACCCTGAAGCAAAAAAAGAAGAAACAATTATCTTGCAGGTCATTTCAGACTGGACGAGTAATATAAGCAATGCTTATTCATTTTGTATTTTCTTGAGCCACAAACAGTTTACTTGCAAAGTCTAGTTTAACCTCTGGTATGTCGTTGTTATAGTTGAAGTTTCATCGAGCAATAGTTGTTCATTCTAACTAGTTACGTTAGGTTCACTTTGTAAAAGTAGGATACAATCGGTATTCTTAGCAGCTGACAATTCACAACACTTGTTGATGTGAAAATTTTTATTTCATATGAACTATAGAAAGCAAATATTCAGATTATATGGGACGAATATCTACTATTCGAATGTGACAATAACTATATTCACACTAAAGCAGGCAATAGAGCATCTTTGTATCTTCAATGCGTAATCTTTCCTATTAACACTGATACCTGTTACTACCTCTACTATTGTGGGATTTTGTCTGACAACTTCATTTCTCTGTGGTAATGGAGTATGATAACTTGAACCGATATACATGCGTGCTGGTTATCCGTTGTGACTGATTCATCAATTGAAATATGAAATGAAGTCACACAGAATAAATTACATAATGATTACAAGAACTAACTCATTTGCCAAGTATAATTTCATGAACTCAGCCTTAAATTACCCATGCCTGTTTGAAGGCTATTGGTATTACATTCCTAACTAAATCAAAATGGGTCTCAAACCTAAGATCTACGACTGCTGATTGGAAGCCTTCACCAAAAAAGTAACTCCACATGTAATAATAAACTGGAATGTTGACTAATGGTTTCGTGAGTAAGACTATAATCTTAGATTCTGTTAATTACTGGGAGAGATAAATCATACAAACTTTCTAAAATGTAGTAAATCCCATGCACCAAGTTTAAAACTTTCTCTTTTGAGAAAATTCCAATGTCAAACTAAAAAGTTAGGTAGTAAACAGATAAACATATAAGAAAACTTTTTGAACAAGATTTGAAATACACTATCGTCATCACAAAGAAATTTATCACTGAACTAACTCCATCTGCCATTAGAATATGTACACCAGCATTATTTGTACTACGACCAATAAATGATGCGAATGAAGCTAAATTTGACCATTTTGTAACATCCCCATCACGTCCTGGTCCATAATGTGCCATAAAAGCTTCTTTTGGACCAGCCAAGAAATCATTCTCACGAAAATCACAATGACCGGTTAATGTTAAACCAAATCCTTTAGCAGACAGTAATGGTTGTTGTTTCTCTGAAGCAGTACTAGTATTATTAGTAGGACTGTTATGATTGACAGATTCAGTAGTATCATCTAGTAGTTTATCATTGATATTGGAATGATGATTAGGACTGAGTGTATTGTTAAGCCGTTTCGATTCACTTGATGAGTGAATATGATATGGAGCATTACATCGTCGCCATAAAGTATATTCTGAGAAACCTCCAGGACCAGCACATATATCAGCAAAATATAATACATCCTGTGTAAAATGGAAAGAATGACGATAAGAGAAAATTCATAATTTACAGTAAATATTTGTCGTGTTCAACGTGTAATTTAAAGATAATTAAAGGGGAGAAGTGCAATACTAACAAAATATAGTTTGTTTTATGAAACACTGAATTCTAATTGCCCCCAAATGCACTGGTACGGCCGAGATGCTCTCACACGACCACGCCCATACAGCCTCTCCCAGGGAAGTCCTACTCATTGCCTTCTCACACCACGAGTGTTGTTTACGAAATCGAGAGGACGAAAAGCGAATGTCCGGCACTTTAACCGGGTTCGTGGACACGGAGAGTCCACCTAGGGGAGTTGGAAAACCCTCATTCCACACCAATGGCCCACATGGGCTCCAGCATCCTGAAGGAACAAATTACGTATGAACCAATTGTTGGCCGCCGGCTACCATGGGACTGCATTTCTTAAATTAGCTCCACTGCCTTGTGGGTCAGACCTTTAGGTCAAAGGCTCGGGGTGTGGCCCCCTAAGAAAACCACCTGCTTCGTTCTGAGCACCCGGGCAGTAACACAGCCCACACAAATAAAATGAAAATGACGATATTTACTGAAAATTCTATTCACGCCTCGATATTCATACTTTTTTAATATAACATATTCACTGTTATATCCTAGTTACTCGTAATTTAATCTTCACTGGGATATAACATTCACCAAAGTTGTACTTATGATATAAAACTAGAACACATTCGTCTATTATTTGAAAGCTACCTAAATAAGTAATTAATTTGAAATAGGGAGACACTTGAATTGTATGTACTAGGTCGAACCACATTTGTTGAGAAAAAACATTACGTCTCAGTGTTTCACATTTCTCAAAGGCAATCAGTTGACAAAAGACACTGTCAGGTAGTATCATCTGCTGAGGTCTGATCTTTATCTAATCGAATTTAGGTGGAATTTTGTTCTCTGAGCTGAAGTTTGTGCTGATGATGTCGTTCAGAAGAAGGCTCCACGACCAAACCATCCAGCTCAGAGAAAAAAATAAACCTAAATCACCCACCTAAGCTACAATTCTTCGCCATCTCAAAAAAGGTCGAATTCTATACCACTACACTGGTTGTACATGGTAGTTAGCGAACAGAGCGTGCCAGTTTCTACATTGATTCAACGAGTTTTTTTTGTTGTTGAAAATATGGTTTATGATAAGTGTTGTTGCAAAAAGATTACACGCATTACATTAGAATAAATGTACTTCCTTGTATTCAGTGAATAACAATTAAAAAAAGATATAGGATGGAGAAAAGGTTTTTATAAAACTACTTTACTGATTTTAACTAGAGCAATGTTCTTTCAGAACAGCTGAAAGACTATCTTCAACATGTATGATAAAAATGTTTAAAGGGCAAAAATAAGTAATAGAATTGGATTCCAAATACAAACTCGTACTTTCCAGTGCTTTTCAACACGTTCTGTGGTATTTGCAAATGGGTGAGCACTCAAATTAGGAAGAACAAAGTGGACACACTTGTAAGTATATTATATTTTTAACTAAAATTTGGGGCGTGTTAGTGAATAATAAAATCCCGAGGGAAATTTGAATATGGCATTTCCAGATAAGCCATTATGGAACTCTCAAAGTACTATAAAATCATGTGAAAAGTTTGTTCGACAGTTCGTTTCATAATTCTGTTGTTAACACTGAGCACCAAACCTATCATTTTAGTCGACAAGTTAACGTTATTAGATTACAATGCTATAATCAAGTTTGAAAAAGTTTTTATTTCGAATGTGACTGGTCATAAACTCCCTATTCTCGAATGTTGTAACTTGCTGACCAAAGATGATAACTGTTAAATTATAACCTATGAATTTTTGGTTGCTAATTACGGACTATTTATCCTGGGGCTAGAGAATTTAAGAATGCCTCAAGTATAACTCTTCCTACTGATCAATTTAGATAGTTCTGATAAAGTGTTTGATAACGTGTTGACTACAAAAGTGAAGTGCGAAGATTTAAAATAATTGAAGTGAGTATTCCTTATACATCTCTTGTTTTAATATAATGAGAATTTTTCAGTGGTTACATTAAGCCCGACATCTGCATAAGCTTTGTGCTAGCTAATAATCTCTTTGTTTATTAATACGCCCCAAACCCAAGTTAAAAACATAATATACTTACAAGTGTGTCCACTGTGTTATTCCTAATTTGAGCGCTGGTCCATTTGAGACTACCAGAGTATTTGTTGAACAGTACTGGAAATTACGAGTTAATATGCTAAATATTGATGATCTGCAATTTTACCCTCATCTGATTTTCAGCTAGCCGACAAATAACTTTACACATCCATTGTATTTCATATGTATATAGTAGGTTTAATTTCGTGATTTATATATCCACAGTGTTTAGCTATTCCTTTTGTCCTCAAACATTTCTATTAAGCCAAATATTAGGGATCCGTCTGGTGGAAAAAAGTAACCACTTCAATTATTTTAATGAAAAATTTATTTGATCGTTTCATTATAAAAGGGACGAAATGAAACATTAAATGATTTTGATAGTTCGATCAAGTATATACGTTGATACAGGATATAGATAAGCCCAAAACACATTACAATACTAGTTCGTTTAAATCAAACAATTCAGATGAAGTTGAAGAAAGTCATAATTACCGTTACAACAATATACTTGTCAGATAACCAGTTAAATAACTTTGTACTTTTCTAACTTTAAAGAACATGTGATTATATAATACATGAACATACAAGGTAAACCCATAAATACTAAATCTTACCATATACAAAACTAAGACATTTATCATACAAGATTGAGTAGTAGGAGGTTTATGTTTAATTTAATTCACAAATGAAAAATGATATGATAAACAAGTTAATGAAAATATTAGATAAGTTTTTGTGGAGATTGTAGTAATTTCAATGGTTAAGATCATGAGTCAGTTGAAGCTAGATCACCATGGAAAACCTGGAAGCACTGGCCGTCCAGTGCTTCCAAGTTAATGAAAGTCAAACAGAAGCTTATATATTAGTTCACGATAAAAATAAATGCACGTATATATAAACTGAAGGTACAGAAAACAACCTCCAAATAATCACATTGTCACTTATTCTTTCCACCTGACCATCCCCAATGTGAGAAGAATTATTTGAAGAAATGTAACAGTGAAATAAACATGACCGCTTTTCTTTCATTTGACTTTTTAAAAAACGCACTTACATCTTTTGGAGCAGCAGTTGTGAACATTCCATTAAAGATTGAATCAATGTTGGCCATTTTCATTGCAGCTCTAAAAGATTAATAATAGTGATAAGAATAACAATAATGATGATAATAATAAGTGTATATAATACCTAAATCTTAAGTACAGGAGAGAATACCTGTCCCATGATAACCGAATAGGTGAAATGATTCATTTTTTACTTCAACTTTTAAATGGTCAAATTCCATAATATTTCAATAATTCTCATTATTGCAAATGATTACAATGAAAACTGTTTAAGCTTAATCAATCAAATACCACTACAGAATATATGAAATGTGACTAGGATTAGAAATTAAGAAACCATTACAAACTAAATTAGATATCATTACTGTTGGAATGGATATCATTATTTATGAGAAGTATATCAATGTGTTGAAATGATTGAGGTGATTAACTATTCATAATCAATACATAAAACTTGACATAAATATGGGTTAGTCTAAGTTGCTACACTATATCAACATGATGAGATCAAATTAACACAAGTTTAAAATAGTATAATATGTAGCATCAATGCTGTAAAAAAATATTGATGAAGTCAGCAATTGTCACTTCAAATTTGACAGTTGATTGTCATCATTATTCTGTTGTTCAGCTTGGATTATTCGATGGAAAGGCGTAGAACCAATGAAGTATGTACATAAATGACTGGTGATTCTTACGCCTCCAAACGCCATGGTACGGTACAGTTAAGGATGGGGAGGGTCAAATGCTCTCACATGGACATACGTATACAGCAACTGACAATGATTTCCTACTCACTGCCTTCTCGAGGCGAGGGTGTTGTTTACAAATTCGAGAGGACGAAAAACGAATATCCGGTGCTTTAACCACGTTGGTGTTCGTGGATACGGAGGATACACTTAGAGGAGTTTGAAAACCCTAAATTCAAACCAATTGTGCACATGGACTCCAGGATCCTAAGGAAACAAATGGCGTATGAACTCAACGATGTTCACCGGCTAACATGAGATTATATCTCCTAGCGTTGCTTCACTACCTTTTAGATTAGACCTCTAGATCAAAAGCTCGGGGAGTGGTCTTTTAAGAAAACCACCTGCTTCTGTCTGGGGACCCGTGCAATATCCTGGCCCTCACACAAATCAAATGACGAAGTGTTTCGCATATGTATTTGGTGCCTTTTTGTACCAAAACTTATGTGTTTAAGTAAATAAATAAATAATCATTCTAATATCTATGTTATTCCACCTATAACTGTGTCACTATTTATACGATGTGTACTCGATTGATTATATATTTACTATGGATCTTTGCGCTGGGATTTTTGGAAATTAACTGTCAACTAACAAATCCTAATAATATTGATTATGAAATGACAAATAAGAAAACTAATACATCATCATATTTACCTGTTCATAAAAATCCCCTTCTTTATCAATTCATATGGATTACAACGTTCATGACTTTTAGTGACATTCAATTTTGATAAATAATCCAACTGATTCTATATACAAGCAAGAAGACGAATAAGAAAGATGATTAGATTATCATCCCAAATGTAATACAAAGACAAAATAGGAAAAAAAAGATGTGCAGCCAAGTTAGACACAGTTTATGTAATCAAATGTCAGTTGCTGGATTTTGAATACGATTTTAACAACACCCTATAATAACTAACATGTGCCTACCAAGGACTAACTTTGAAATGTGATTCACGGAGTTATAGTGAGTTGTGACTAATAGAGTTCGAGTATGTCGGGGGTGAAATAAGTATCGTCACTGACAATGAATGACTGTTGCGAAATATTACGAGTTATTTTGGAATAAGACATGTTGGCCACTGGATATCGACTCAGTAATCTAAAGGTTAAGTACTCATAGTTAAACCTGAAGGTTCTGAGTTCTATCCTTAATGGCGGACTCATGAATACTCACTATTAAGTAATCCAACAGTGGGATTAGACAGTTATCCAGAGCTTCCTTATTTCCAATGATTGTTTAACCGAAATCATTCCGTGATGTTAAATTTCAAATACAAACTAACCAACTCAAATCCGTAGAAAAGAACAAGATAATTCACTCAATTCTGAAATATCACCAGTAACCTAACCAGGGTTCGGTTACCGATATCCATTCAAGAGAGTGGGAGTCGTAACGCAATCACTCAGAAGAAATTAACTCAGATAATAAAATGCATTACTATTGAAACTCGAGATTCAGAAGTGAACAAAGAATAAATGCACTTGAACCCCCTGAGATCAATTTTAAACCACATTATCATTGATTACGATTGAGATGACGCCAACCAGAAGGTCTATACACCAACGCGGGGATTACTGAGACAGAATATTCTTGGACTTATCCCACTTTCCCGTTTGAATGCCCCCAATTTTTTCAAAACCTAGTTTTATACTAGTACTGGACATACAGTAAACTAAATGGACGATTAAAAATGTGTGTAAATGTCTCGAAAATAAACCAACAATCAAATATTCTACTATTTTTTAGAAAACATATATAATTATGTAAACTAGTTGAGAAACGTCACCGAACCTTATAATTTAAAACTTCTTGAACAAGATTAATCGAGCAGAATTTATCTTCATTATCCAACTCTTCAATAGGTGGACCTAAAGCCTCCGGTTCATCGGGACTGATGATTAGAGAATTCAATTCCAATAAGGAATTAGTAGAATGTCCGCCTTCCATTGACCATGACCACGTACGATCTCCATCAGCTGTAGTATAATCATCATCGCAGCCTTCATGCCAGACTAAATTTGGATTGGAAGATTGATAGAGTTCGCCTGAGAATGATTCAATCTTTTTATCAGATGACGATGTTGTTCTTACTGAACCGAGACCACTTCTGCCTTTTTGTTTACTCATCGCAACCGGTTCAACTACACCGTGAGCATTAATACCCAATCCTTGACCATGTTCATAACCCATCTTTCGCTATTGACCCAAAAAAAGATTTTAAACAAGAGAAATTGTAGTAGGAAAGTTAAGCATTTATTTCTGTAATTTAAGTGAGTATATGAGCAGATTTTTTAATTAATTTACGACAAACAACAGTACCACTATAAGCATACATTTCATTTATTTTCAAACTTAACCCTTCTAAATATATAAATGTCATTTTCTATTTATTAAGCTTGTCGTTTACCGTAATGTTGTAAGAGCGTAATACCGGCTAGTTAATTGTATGCTCTCTTATATTTAGAGGATTATCATATTTGAATAAGTGGTAATCAGTCATCCATCTTTATTTCATTTGTATACACATATCTAATGCTTTAAATCTTATATTTCACGCATATAATTTAACTTAAATTAATTTGAGAAGTTTTGTCAAAGCGTCAGTGCTGCTTAATCTCACATGGGACACACTTAATAACCAGACAGTCTGATCAACTATATTTGAACCGAAATAAGTTATTTTTGGGGTAATATAATAAGTAGAGGCATATATTACAATAGAGATATGCGATGTACTAGATATTTCTTTATTCGCTGACCAATCAGGTCACTTCGGATTGACATATCAACTACATAAATAACACTATGTTAAAGCTCACGACGTTACTCGACCGATTCGAAGCTATTACCTATTGTTTGAAAGTTAAATATTCTTCGAACACTAAACTCCTTCACTAGATAACTTATAGTATTCTAATAATACTGTAAGTCTCTAAAAAAAAGCATTACGTAGCCCACAGGGCACTTCAATATTTAAGACTGATGACAAAAACGTCCCGAATAAGTACGTCTTCAGCTAGAACTTACCATAATTTTCCAAGCTACATCGTCAAGTGGATCAGATAGCTGTAAAAAATAGATAAGATAAAACCTATTGAATGGCATGCTTTCCATTTAAATCTTTTTGTGCAATGAATATAATTTTATTTAGAATGTATTTTGCCTAACGATTGTCCGTCAGTTAGTTATAAGAGACAAAAGAATATGCATCAAGTAGACATCGACCCACAGTGATATTCACATCAGTACAGCGAAATGAACTTATTATTATTATTATTATTATTATTATTATTAGTAGTAGTAGTAGTAGTAGTAGTATCAGAGGCAGTAAAAGACTAGATATAGAATGTAATTCGTGAATAAATTAGCGGAATGAAAAGTACAATATTGGGAAACTCAGGACTAAGAAGGTAAACAAATTAAATGGATCTGTGCCGCTGTAACAGACTTCTAACTGTTGCCAAGTCTCCAACTATTGGTCACCATAATCTTCCCCCAAACAATTGGTCTCAGCTATCAACATAAGACCAACAATTAACTTTATCAACTGACTCCCTTTCTCAGTTTAGCTTTTAGTAGTTTTTTAATAACTTATAATATCAACAAAATACATATCCTACTTAACTTCATACATCTTCGGTCGACTAAACATGTCAATGAGAAAGAAGGCATAAAAATTTGGATAACGATTAAGTTTAGAAAATATATACTTCGTGCAAGTAAATGATTATTATTTTTTTTATTTGAATACATGAATATTGGTACAAGAGAGCACCAATATATATGCGCCACACAAAAACAATGAAAATTCGAAGAGAAATAGAAAAAAAAAACAAGGAGCGCAAAAGAAAAAGAGAACAATAACGAAGAGATTGGAGTAAGGTAGTGTGATATTAACGAGAGAACGGAAAGGTACAATCAGAAGAAACCTTTCAGGTAAGGAAGACACAACCACTTTTTATGAAGAAAGTAAAAGAAGGTTACAGCAGGATCGCCACTGGCTTCTATTCTGAGCCATATCTGATAACGTCTCTAGCCACTGTGTAGCACCATCTCTCAGACCCCAACCAGGGAGTCGTGAAGGACCAACACAAGCCAGTCCTTTGCAGCTTTCTTTCATACCACGAAGTAAATGATAGACGGTAGACAAACAATAAGTAATGCAGCCGACGTCTAACTCAACGTAGTTCAGTACGATAGACTTAGATAATATTAGGGTGACTCAGTTGTTACAAGTATTTGAAGATAAACACACGTACGTATCATAGTTTAGTCACTAAAAGATGGAGAGTAGAATATGAACCTACGATTGGAACCAGATATTATTTGCTTAAAGATAGGTATGGATGTTCCACAACCATATAATGAATACATAGCTTAATGTAAAAAAAACAACTAAGCACTACATATTAAGACTATTTACCTTGTGTTTTTCAGCTTTTTTGATTGAACGTTCGTCAGACATCTATAATGCGAATAAGCATCTTAAGTTAATATACATTGTCAAGAAGAAAAGAACAAGTCTCTTGTTTTGTATTTATTTACATGTTTTGTACAGCTGGTAACAAAAAAGGAGTATTACAAGTAGGGCATATCGGATTAAACTCACAAAATACAGACAAACATATCGAACAAACATAACCAATATCAATCAATCGTTTATGACAAAAGCATGCAGCTCGAAAGTCAACACCACTAGATCGACTATCTGGGAGTAAAAGAGACGTTCTCATTTTAGATGATGGCAAAAATACTGACAACAAGTACTGTAGTAATCCAGAAACTCTTGGTACTTGCAAGTAAATTCCACCAGTTAGATCTGCAGCCTGTTGAAGAAGACTTGAGTGTCCAAGAGAACTTAGCCCACATCTGCCATTTAAATTATCTGACTGTTGTGGTAACGATAACACACATGTGTCTATTGGAACATGAAGCTTTTGAGCTGTGAACACAGAATTCATCAACGCTAAGTATTGAGAAGAATTGTCATCAGACGCCTTAATAATCAGTATCCGAGAAGAAATCTTTTCACTCCCTTCGCTAAACTCCATAGTCATCTCTAAAGAGTCATTTAAATGTCTTGTAGATGGCTGCAATTCACGACACCGCCGAAGGTAATAACACAATGCTTTTATTATCGCACCAGCCAAAACAATTTGTGTGCTTGTAGAAGAACAGGAGGTCACAAGGTTTAATGCTAGTTGCCTGACAGTGTTATTCATACAGCTAAGTGCGTCATTCTGGCCATCATTTGAAGCACTAGTTGGAGGTTCCGATTCGTTTGGATAAATAAACTTTATTTCAGAAGGTGTAACTCCTATTACTGCTAACTCGTTATGTGGAGACAACATTAAATGACTATTTGCGAAACCAAGGGCTGCCTCAATGCAATTTGGCAAACTAAATTCACTTGTACAAGAACCCCATGAGGCGGGGGTCATATCTAGTACCAACAATAATAGATTTCTTAATTCTGTTGACGACATTGTAGAGATCAAGCAGAGAAATCTAGGAAAATTTGGACAATGATATTCTCGAAATCTTCAGGGGAAACTGATGTTCTTTTGTTTTGCTTGGCAATAGCGATAGATCGAGTAAGGGTCTCTAAGAAATATGCAATTGATCCAGAAAGAACCTAACCTGATAAATAGAGTTCTACTAAGTGATCACAAAGGGAAGCTGCTTCGCTATTAACTAGAAGTAGGAATAAGCTCAAAAACGACATACTTTTTGTTTTCGGATCCACAAAAAATGATTTTAGAATTGACGTGGTGATTTGTTCCTAGTGGGTAAACACCGAGAAACCTAAACATACCATGAATTGTCCTATCACCTGCTACAACATCATTGGATGACCGATCTCAGTTGAAATCTACAGGTTACTGAAACCTTGAATTTGATGTTAGAAAACAAACCACTATCCGTACCTTACATCTAGATGTAACGTCTTTGGGAAGAGCTAGTCAGTGAGTCCACCTTCGATTGTCAACTGGAATCCACATGCATCCAGATAGGCCACATGGCGCCAGGATCAAGCACAAAAGCAATCGGTAGCTGACCATATGGTTTCAAATTGAAAGCATAAACTGCTTATACATGAACGCCGCGAGTTTACCAAATAAAATGGATGAGCTACGTGAACTTGACAATGCTACAAATGCTCATCTGATTGGAATATCTAAAACTTGGATATCTTTTTAGGAGCTGGCAATATCTGAGATATCTTTGTTTCGCAACGACAGAAAAACAGGTATTGGGGGTGGAGTAGCCTTATACACAAGATCATGCCTGGAGGCACACCAAGTTCACAACCAAGAGTTTATCAGTCTTGATGAATCTGTATGGTGCTCAGTAAGATTGTCTACCACCTCTATGTGTCTCGTTGGAGTCATCTAAAGGAAGTGAAAACTCAACTGAAGCTCGGTTCTTCAACCTCATTGAGGATCTGAGATTATTCGAAAATGTGAAGTCGGCAACTCGTTGGAGATACAGTCAGATACCGTTGCGCTTAGACTGGGCGTTTACAAACGAAGAATTCCTAGTTGACAACCTCTCAATCTTGGCCCCAATGGGGAAAAGCGATCACTGTTATAGCTTTCAGCTTCGTCAGCAAAACTGAGCTAAGATATCCCACCAACAACAGGCGCTGGAATTTCAAACGGTTGAATATGTCAGCTTTATAGGACTATCTGCAACAGGTGGATTGGGATGTTCACCCTCAACTTGATGTGGATGTTCATTTGGACTTCTTACTGCACACGTTCTTATGTGCTACAAAGCATTCAGTTCCTCAAACGGTCCCCAAAAGCTACAAGCAACCTACAATCATCAAGAGCCGCACTCTTTGCTTGCTAAGCCGCAAAAGATACTGTTGGGCAGAATACAAACAAACTGACAACGGCGCGTACAGGCAATACAAACATATAAGGAACATATGCACCAAATCAATAAGAGAAGACAGGCTTCAGTATCAGATAAAGCTTATGGATGGATTTGTCTCCAATCCGAAAAGCTTATTGCGCTATGCAGCCTCTCTTCGACAAGCCAAAACTGTAGTTTCCCAACTGCTAGGTCCTATTGGCCCGACCAATAACGACGGTGACACCGCTAATCTTTTGGCTGAACAATACTTTCGGACATTTCAACCGACCCATATCAACTATACTGATGACAGCTTCATTTACAACTTCACAGGACTTTCCAAAGTGAATCTGAGCCCTGACTTGGTGCTCCGGAAACTGCAACACCTAAGAATTGACACTTCTCCTGGCCCAGATATGGTTCATTCTGCTATATGAGGGAGGCAGCTTCAATCCTGGCAACACCGATCAGTGCGATGTTCTCACAATCGCTAAGCCGAGGCAAACTTCCGGAAACTTGGAAGTTGGCCCACATCACACCAATTTTCAAAGGAGGTCGACGCAGCGAACCTTAAATTTACCGACCGGTGGCTCTTCTCTCTATACCTTCAAAAATCATGGAATCCCTGATATGCGATGTAAGATATGACTATTTGATGTCCTTAAGTTTCTTCTTACCCCGACAGCATGATTTCAGGAAGGATTAATATTGTATGGCCAACCTGTTGACCGCGGTGGACATATGGACAAGCATCCTTGATAGTAAGGGGAAGGTTGATATTATTTACCTTGATTTCTCAAAAGCTTTTGATAAGGTTAACAGTAAGTGTCTTATCAATAAGCTCAAAGGATTGGGTGTCAGACCACCTCTATCTGACTGGCTCATTTCATATCTAAAAAATCGACATTTTAAGGTCAGGGTTAACTTCAATTTATCTCAGGCTATGGAATGTCCTAGTTGTTTCCCCCAGGGCTCAGTACTAAGACCTCTTCTCTTCCTGATTTATATAAATGATCTCCCACAACAGGTGTCGTTAGACTTATTGCTTTTCGCTGATGACGTGAAACTTTGGAGAGAGATACGCAACCATGACGATATACAGGCACTTCAGGAGAATCTGACGCGACTTCAAAGTTGGACAGGCGCTAACAGACCTTCCTTTAATACTTCAAAATGTAAAGTAGTTCATTTGAAACATGTTGCAGACTACAGTCACAACTTAAGAAACTCCTCTCTAGTCCTGATGCCCTATAATTTGAAGTCGCACGCTAACTGTGACAGAAATGCCTTTCGAGCAAACCTTGCACTGATAACATTGAAGCGCATTCTTGGACAGTTTGACGATAGAAGTTTCCACATAATTTTCAACAGTTTTATTCGTCCCCATTTAGAGTACGGAAACATAGTATTACCTCCCTCATTTCAAAAGGATAAGGACACTCTGGAGCGTATCCAACGGCGAGCCACCAAATCAGTTCAGGACTCAAATTTAAACATTATGAAGAGCGCCTCCTATCACTCAACCTTTACCCATAAGAGTATAGGCGTCGTAGATGTGACCTTCTGATGGCTTACAGTATCCCTAACACTTCTGGACATCCCCTTAAACACATACATAAGTTTAGCTCCAACACAAACCTAAGGGGTAACACCCAGAAACTGTAGACACAATACAGCAGAACGGACTGTAGACCCAACCTCTACTTCTTAAGAGTTGTCAAATGCTGGAATTCACTGCCGACTAAACTAGTCCAAGCGACTTCCCAGGAGTCCATTAAGAGGGAACTTGACCTATTCTTAAGGAGTAAGGATAACATCTCACCATGACTTACCGATTTTTTCTCTCTATTATCGTTAATATACCTAGATTCCCTCCTGGAGGTATTGGTGGCCCACCGCTACTAGACACAGAAGCCTGTTAAGCGAAAGTTTCTTCCATTCCGTCCACAACCATTGGAACCATTTGAACCGTCATTTTCTGAAAAAAATTCTACGGATTTTATTTCAAGACGGTATCTCGTAGAAGCTGCATCAAGTTCAGTTACTTTTAAGCGGTTGTGGGGTATATAGAATCAACTTTGCCGTAATGATCTTTCATGTCCATACTTGGGTTTTCTCTCTCCACCACATAAAACTGTGAAATAACGATTAGTTCTGACATGCAAAGAAAGGATGAGGAGATTACTTATGAATCCTGATACTGGATTTCTCAAAGCTAAATTTTGATAGACTGAAGTCGTATCAAACTAACTGGGACACTAGTTGGAATTCATCTCCACGGTAATACTTTTGTTCCTTCAGTTAGCCTACTAATGCTAATGAAATTGAAAATCAACTCATGGACAACTTACTAGCATGAACGTTATTTGATTTCATAATTTAAACCAAAACTAATACCAATATTAGCATGTCTACAATATTCATTACTTTAATATTTCTAAACACAAAATACTTTTCACTTATACGTTAAGTTATTAACCAACGGCTATAAACACGCATCGTTTTATTATTATTATTATTATTATTATTATTATTATTATTATTATTATTGTAATCCCATTTTCTATAGCTCAAATAATCTTCACCCAAATTTTCATTCTAAGCGTGTTAAGCATGAAGGCAGGTATTTTAAAATTATTGCATGTATTTCCCGACCAGATACTGCCGCCTTCTTTTGGATTTATCTTTCAACTTATCATTACCTGGAGGATTCTTACTAATCTTGGTAACCTTCGGCGCACGACAGTCCCATCCAATTCGGTATCGAACCAACATCACGTTGATTCTGGTGGGAGAGTAGTGTAGTGGCACTGGACAATAACCACACAATCCACAAAGCTGTGAACACGAGACTACTCGGAAAATAGATATTCAATATTTAACGCGGAAAAATACCTAACGATGAAAAAGGCAGGAACAAGGAATTGAATGAATTGGAGTTGATCGGATGGCATGGCTCGACCATGCAGGCGTGGTCCATCTGAATGTTACCTTATATCTTCTATTCATATTAAATATATTGTTCCTTCTCTAGCCTAACCTTGTTCTACATCATGTATTGGTAATTGATACGATACAGTGAGATGGTGTAGTCGATGGTGTGACTTCCACTTAAGATCTTATAGGTTAGGCAGTTATATCATGACAAGTCTACAGATTTAGGATTAGGTCTATTATAAGAGCAGTACTAATATCATAGTAGACCAAGATTCTACAGAGCTACAGGTGGAGTGACATTGTAGAGAGGAGAACGTTATGAAAACTTCTTCGACACTACGGAGTTCCTGAAAAGATTGTCAATATTATCCGGAACTCATACGACGGACTACAATGAAAAGTCGTGCATGGAGGACAGCTGACAGATACATTCCAAGTAAGGACCGGAGTCGGACAAGGCTGTCTACTCTCTACCTTCCTCTTTCTTCTGGTGGTCAATTGGACTATGAAGACCTCGACATCTGAGGGAAAACACGGCATACAATGGACAGCTCAGAACCAGTTTGCCGATTTGGACTTTGCAGATGACCTAGCCCTCCTATCGCATACAAATGAACGAATGCAGATGAAGACAATCAGTGTAGCAACAGCCACTGCATCAGTAGGCCTCAGCATACACAAGGGGAAAACCAACGTCCTCAAATAAAACACGGAAAACAGCAATCCAATCACACTTGATGACGAAACTCTGGAAGATGTGGAATACTTCACATATCTGGGAAGTATCATCGATGAACAAGGAGGATTTGATGTAGACGTAAAGGCGAGGATTGATAAAGCAAGGGTCGCATTATTATTGTTATTCACAAACAACATATGGGTACATAAGTGTTGTAAAGAAACCATTTCGGGTTTCTTCAAAAAATGCAATAATACACAATTTTCAATAATGTTAGCATTATACTTGCCGTATTAAAAAATTTTAGAGTAATAATATTAGAATATTAATAATAATTGAGAAGAATATTGAATTGAGTTTAAAGAAGGAAATGGAGAAAATAAGGGAATAGAAATAAAGGAGACGTG